CTGCGCAGCCTGGTGGAGGGGGCGGGGCTAATGGACATGGGTCCGCGACCCCTCTGAAATGGCCCGGCGACCCCTCTAGGGGTCGCGACCCCCAGGTTGAGAAACGCTGCCTTAAAGGGACTTGGAGTGGATTCCTGATAGATCAACAAAGTAAATTATCATCAACAAAAGATATTATAAATTCCTTGGATAATCATAACAAAAGCTAATAACACAGCTTTCATACCTTTCAAAAGCGTTCTTTTGAAAGGTAGACCAATAAATGGGTTTTACAGTGGCTCAAGCCTGAATTAAGATTGTTACAGTTTGAACACATCACGAGGAAACATGAGTCAGTGGAAAAAGGCGATAATGTTGGGGAAATTTGGAGGAAGTAAGAAAAGAGGAAGACCTCAATTAAGAAAGTCGTGGCTTTGGCTTTGCAACATCGGAAAACCGTGATAAACAACAAAATCCTTTGAAAATCATTTGTTCATAGAGTCAGCCTAAGTCAAAATGATCTCGAAAGCACCTAACAGTAATTAAAAATTACATGTTGAGATTTTTATAAAAAAGCAAGATTACAAATTGTGGTGTTATCAGTTGTCATGGAACTTTATTAGCAGACAATTCAATGACCTCGAAAGCTTACAATTATGCTCTAGTTGGCTCTAGTTGGTTTAACTTTTGCAGAATTTTATTATTTTGTGGATTTGAGTAATATGTTGTCACTAGGAATCTCTAGGTCCTCTGACATGACTCTGCTAGACTATAAATCGGTGATTCCTAATTCTTCAAGCTCCAGATGTTTTTGACTTCAGGTCTGATAGTTCCTGATGGTTGATCTATCAGTCCGGATCTTCTAAGGCACCTTCTACACTGCCATATAAAATCCAGATTATCTGAACTGGATTATATAGCAGTGTATTTATTTACCGGTATTTATTTATTTCGAGGTTTTATATACCGACCCTCTCACCTTCAAAGAGGGATTCGGACCGGTTCACAACATGTGTAGAGCCATATAATCCAGTTCAAAGATGATAATGTGGATTATCTGCTTTGTAATCTGGATTATATAGCAGTATAGAATGGACGTAAGAATTGAAGTCCAAAATTAGCTGGAAGATCAAAGTTTGGGAACCATTACTGTAATTCCCATCAACCACCCAGTGAGTTTCATAGCTCACAGAGGTCTTAAATCCAGATCTACCAAGTCCGATGATAACACCCAGTTTTCATAAACTCCCAGTTTTCATAACTCTAAAACTCTGATTTGGGTCAATTCTCATATCCTAAGCTATCTCACAAGCTGTTTGAAATCAACTTTTTAAAAATATGGCACATGCTATCCAAAGCATGGTTAAATTTGGGCCCTCCAGGTGTTTTGTACTTCAGTTTCCACAATTCCTAATGTCAGGGGAAAACCTTTATCTTTACTTATCGCTAAACTTTTATAGAAGTTTTATAGAACATGAATGAAGGAACATGAAAGGCACTGCAGACTACTTCAACCAGAGAAGTCAGCCATAGCAGAGCACCTGATGAACCAGCCTGGACACAGCATATTATTTGAGAACACAGAAATGCTGGATCACTCTCACAACCACTATGTCAGATTACACAGAGAAGCCATTGAAATCCACAAGCATGTGGACAATTTCAACAGAAAGGAGGAAACCATGAAAATGAACAAAATCTGGCTACCAGCATTAAAAAACTCTAAAATTGCAACAGCAAAACAACAGAGAGGAAACAATCAGGGACAGCTAATCACCTCTCAACAAAAGTTTGCTCCAGGCACAGTCAGGCCACTATATGCTAATCAAGGTGGTCAGTTGAAACATTCACACCTAGCTCCAGCAGACAAGAGTTCTTTGTCCCACCCTGGTCATTCCACAGATATATAAACCCATTTTTCCTAGTTCCAACAGACCTCACTACCTCTGAGGATGCTTGCCATAGATGCAGGCAAAACGTCAGGAGAAAATGCCTCTAGAACATGGCCATATAGCCCAAAAAAACCTACAACAACCCAGTTTTATAGAACCATTACAGCTGCAAAAAATAAGGTCCCTTCTACACTGCCTTATATCCCAGGGTATGATCCCAAACTTTTTTCTTATCCCAGATTATATGGCAGTGGAGACTCATATAATCCAGTCCAAAGCAGATGATCTGGAATCAGATTCTGGGATATAGTGCAGTGTCGATACATCTTAAGATGACTCAAGACACAAAGCAAGGTACAGGAGGTGATGCCATTAATGTGGATTGGAAAAACATGCACATGATGCTCTTAAAGCACCAGTCTGGCAAAGATGTGGTAGAAAGTATCCTCCATCAACTAACCTTATGAGACTGGCAGGAGTGGATTTCAATTGGAATAATCTGGAATAAAGGGGTGGTAGAGCCAACTACACTGCAACATAAAATCCAGTTTATCTGCTTTGAACTGGATTATATGCCAGTGTAGACTCATAATGTGAATTATCTGCTTTGACAATATGGATTATATGGTCATGTAGATCCAGTCTTAGTGAGTCCCGAAGGTCTAGAGACAATAGACAATTTGCCCAGCTTTATGTGGATTGTATTTATTTCTTAACTTTATTTCTACGCTGTCTTTCTTCTAATGAGGATTTAAGGCAGCTTGCAATAACAGGACACAACCCAATCAATGTAAAAATATGGCAAATACAAAAATTAAAAACAATTTAAAAAACAATTAAAGATTTGTGTCATGGATACAGATTAAAGTACAGTTAGTTATGATACAATAAAAATATTCATACAATTAAACTTACATTTAGAACTAAATATACTCCCCAACCCCCAATATTTCCCCACCAGTGTGCCCCTCATCCTCATTTATTTATTTATTTATTTACCATACTTGTATCCCACCTTTCTTAACCTGGAAGGGGACTCAAGCCGCATGTATACATACATCAATGGAAAAACAAACATTAAAACCATCCAATTAAAACATAACAATTAAAACAACAATTAAAATCACATAGTCCAGGTCATATTCTGGGGCATCATTAAAATTAATTTACAATCTCTTATTGCCTTGCTCCCATTACCCCTGATTCCAGAGTCAAGCTTTTAGTTTTTTTCCCCTGAAAGCTAGGAGGGGGGATGCCCTTCTAATTTCACTGGGGAAGGAGTTCCATAGACAAGGGGCCACGACTGAGAAGGCCCTGCCTCTTGTCCCAACCAATTGTGCTTGCAAGGGGAATGGGACCGAGAGCAGGGCCTCCCCTGACAATCTTAGCCTCCAAGGTGGATCATAGAGGGAGATATGTTCAGACAGTTAAGCTGAGCTGGAACCGTTTAGGGCTTTATAGGCTAAAGTCAGCACTTTGAATTATGCTCGGTAGCAGACCGGCAGCCAATGGAGCTGACACAAAAGGAGGGATGTCCTCTCTCTGTACACTGCTCTGGTGAACAGTCTGGCTGCCACTCGTTGGACCATTTGAAGCTTCCAAACATTCTTCAAGGGCAATCCCACATAGAGTGCATTGCAGTAGTCTATTCGGGACATGACCAGAGCATGAACTACCGTGGCCAAGTCTGACTTCCTAAGGTATGGGCGCAACTGCCTCACAAGTTTTAATTGTGCAAAAGCTCCTCTTCAAGGCTGGAGGGAGGGAGGACAGAGGAGGGAAAGCACCTTGGAGAGCGGCGGCGGCAAAAACCCACAGTGAAAATACTATGATATATATTAATATTTTTTTAAATCCACAAAACAGTGAGTCCATTAAACCAGAACCGCGAAGTAGTGAGGGAACACTGTATCGAGTATCTCCATGGCCAAAGCCACTTTTTAGGAACAGAGAATCAGCTGTGTTATTACCATCCTTTCCATTCTAGGATTCAAGCATAGCAATGCAGTGGAGATATGGAGGTGAAAGTGACCTTCTGAAAGCTTTTTGACTACATCTCCCATCATCCCTCACTAGAGCAGATGGAGGTTGTTTGCCAAAATGCATGGTGGCCCTCTGTTGCCCACTCCTCTTCAATGTGGATTGGCAGTCCATGAATGCTGCAAGATGCTCCAGTCTACAGAAGGACCAGTTTGGTGCCAATGGCAATGTCTCAGGGATGTAGGACAAGTTCAGTTCCGTCCCACACACGGAACCAAGGTAAGATTGTTTCCCCAGAAAATGGGGCTGAAGAGAAAGTGTAGATGGAAGATTTGGTTTCGGGATTGAAAAATTCCACCTTTCCGTTGTCATAGTCCAGAAAGACCCGAATCATCCGTGGCTTCTTGTCAAAGGAAAGTGGGGTGTGTTGGGGGGCTGTGAAAGCAAAATACTTACCCAGTCCCCAGTATTCCCCAATGCCCCAGATGCCTTCTGTGGTGCTATAATCGGGCAGCCCTTTTCTTTTCAGTGACTGCTTGGCGACCCCCACGGCCCACTCCCCATTGCCCTTCACTTCAACCTCCCAGCAGTGTTTTCCTGAGGTGAAACCTTTTTGGGCCAGGACCCAAACATGCTGGTCAAATCGTTCAGTATTGTTCGGACGGGGCTGCTCTTCTGGTCCCCATTTAGCACTTCTCTGATCTGGAGAGATGATGATCCGTCGATGAGCAGTATTGGGGTCCAGACGTACACCTTCTATAGGAGAAAGGAAAGATGGTTACGTTTACATCTAGCATGTACTGTTTCCCTTATTCTTGCTTTATTCTCACTCCAGCCATGTAAGGCAGATCAGGTTATCATAGAATCATGGAGTTGGAAAAGACCCAAGGGACCACTCAGTCTAATCCCATTCTGCCACGCAGGAAAACACAACTCAAGCATTCCCAACAAATAGACATCCATCCAGCCTCTGTTTTAAAACTTCCAGAAGAGACGACACCAGCACAATCCTAGGCAGCATATTCCACACCAAACAGCTCTTACCATCAGGAAGTTCTTCCTAATGCTTAGGTGGAATCTGTTTTTCTGCATTTGAATCCATTGCGCTGTGTCCTAGCCTCTAGAGCAGCAAGCTTGCCCCCTCTCAGGCCCCTTCCACACAGTTGGATAAAATCCATATTGAACTGGACTATATGGCAGTGTGGACTCAGATACTCCAGTTAAAAGCAGCTATTGTGGATTATCTGCCTTGATATTCTGGGTTATATGGCTGTGTGGAAGGACCCATGTTAAGAAGCCAACCTGCATGGGGATCAGAGGCAGCCCTAGGTAATTTTCAACGGTAAGCAAACAGTATTTTGCCCCCCCCCCCCAACCAATCACTGATATATATTTTCTGTTCGTCGTGGGGGTTCTGTGTGCCATATTTGGTTCAATTCCATCATTGGTGGAGTTCAGAATGCTCCAGTAACTACAACTCGCATATGTCAAGGTCTATTTTCCCCCAAGAGCACGTCAAGAGCGCCCCTGGGCAAACTCAACTATACTGCGAATGTTTACTTTGCGTAATGGTTGAGCTGCCCCTGGTTGGGGGTCACAAAATAATAATAAAATAATAATAGGATTTTATTTATATTCCACCCTGTTTCCCCAAAGGGACCCAGGGTGGATTCCAACAAACAAAAAGTCAAACATTCAATGTCTGATAAGACCATAAATATAAATATAAGAACAGACCATGCCGAACCCAACATAAACTAACATATACCAAAATTAGCCCACATAAACCAAAACAGAACCCACATAAAAGACCAAATTATAACATTCAACCTAAAATTAAAATTAAATTATATCTAGCATAAAAACATAGAGTAGGAAGAGACCATATGGGCCATCTAGTCCAACCCCTTGTCATGCAGGAGACCCCCATCGCGATCTATATTTCTTCCAAATCTTACCCAACAAAGAAGACTTAAAAAGAGAGAAATGAGCAACTACCAGCTGGAGCAAATTAGGAATCAGTAACAGGACTTCCCTGTGTTTGAGCTGCTACAAGGAAAGAGCCAGAAGGATAGAGCTTGACTATCCCTGCTCAATGTTATTTATTTATTTATTTATTTATTTATTTATTTATCTGTCGTGTGAGGAGTGAACCAAACAGTTGTATTGCATTAAAAAAACAAACAAACAAAACACAAAGTTTGCAAACTTGACATTTTATTAAATGTCCTTTGACCAGTAGCTGGCCACTTGGAATGCCTCTGGTGAAGTGACCAGAAGTTCAATGCTATGAAATCATGGGAGTTGTAATTTTACAAGGTGTTTAGCCTTTTCTGCCAAGGAGTGAGGGTGCGTTATCAGAATTACTTTTGTCTGTTTTGGACTATAATGCATAACAACTCCAACCAGCCTACAAGTAAAATCCCAGAATCAGAAGAGACCCCAAGGGCCATCCATCCAGCCCAACCCCCGACATGCGGGAAAAACACAATCCAATCCAGACTCTGTTTACAAATCTCCAAAGAAGGAGACTTCATCACACTGCCAGTCAGCATATTCCAGAAGAAGGAGTGTTGTTCAGGAACGTCTGTAGGATAACTGGTTCCATAAAAGGTAAAGGTTTCCCCTTGACATTAAGTCTAGTCAAGTCTGACAGTCTAGAGATATAAAAACCACACTTGTGTAGTTTCCAACAGATCTCACAACCTCTGAGGATGCCTGCCATAGATGTGAGTGAAACGTCAGGAGGGAATACTTCTGGAACATTGGTTGTACAGCCTGGAAAACCTACAGCAACCCAGTAATAACATAAAGATAAAGGTAAAGGTTGTCCCTTGACATTAAGAGAGGGTGGTGCTCATCTCCATTTCTAAGCTGAAGAGCTGGTGTTCTCCGTAGATGCCTCCGAGGTCATGTGCCCACCATGACTGCATGGAGTGCTGTTACCTTCCCGCCAGAGCGGTACCTATTGATCTACTAACATTTGCATGTTTTCGAACTGCTAGGTTGGCAGAAACTGGGGCTAACAATGGGAGCTCACCCAGTGTGTGGATTTGAACTGCCAACCTTTCGGTCAGCAAGTCCCGCAGCTCAGCAGTTTCACCCACTGTGCTACCACAGCCCCTATAGCTGGTTTCATACCCTTGACCTAAATATGTTATTTATAGCTCCCATTGCCTGACAAACTGGCATTCCAAAAATCAAACCTAACCAGTTTTTCTTGCTTCCATGACAGGTCTAGAGTGATTTGACCGTACCAAGACATTTGAGCAGTGTCCTCTTACTCTGCTCTATGACCTGGGTCAATTAGACTGGTCTAGAAAGGCTGCCATGGTCCAAGGAATGCACGTTAATAGAAGGAGTTGATGTACAGAAGAAAGTTCAAGTTACCTGTTGAACTGCCTGGGATCCATTCACATGAGTTAGGGGAAGGCAATGGGCAGGAACTGGCAGGTGCGTTTCTCACCTGGAAAACTTTCCAAAAGTGTTGATGTTAGGACATGAACATAAATATAGAGCAATGTTTGCTTTCCAATGTTCAAGGGACCAGCTAAATCTGTGCCCCTTGGGTTCTATTGTTTCTTTCTTTTCCAGCAGGGACCACTAGCCAATGGCTTTGAGTAAAACATTCCTCTACAAAAGGCTTGTCCAATCTAGCATTCTCCCAAAGTGTTGAAGTGCAATTCCTAACATGCTCTGTCATTTTAGCAAAGGGACACACCTATGCTAAAACCATTGAGCAGGAGTATGCAAAGATCTTGGCAGCTGTGGGTTGAACGTCTGCTTCTGGGAAAACCCAGGGAAGAAGAAGTAGGAAAATTGAGGGTGCCTCTGTATTGTAGAATTAATACACTTTAATTGCCATTGCTCAATGCTGTGGAATCCCGGGAGTTGTAGTTTGGGGAGGCACCAGCACTCTTTGGCAGAGCAAAACCTTGTAAAACTCCCAGGATTTCATAGCACTGAGTCATGGTAATTGAAGTGCTGTCAAGCTGTGTTACTTCTACAATGTAGATACATCCTTAGACAGGACTGCAGCCACTTTAGTTATTTACTAGCTGTACCTGCCACGTGTTGCTGTGGCCAACCTTCCCTCCCTCTTTCCCTTCCTTCCTTCCTTCCTTCCTTCCTTCCTTCCTTCCTTCCTTCCTTCCTTCCTTCCTTCCTTCTTCCTTTCTTCCCCCCCCCAACCTTTTCTTCCTCTTTCTCCCCTTCCTTCTCTACCTATTATTTCTTCCTTCTCTACCTATTATTGGACTGCAACACACAGCAGTCCTCCTGATCTATCTACCTACCTGCCTATCTCTATCTAATCTATCTATCTGGAGTATTGCTGGGAGTTGCAGTCCAGGAATAGAAAATTGCAAATATGCAGGGATTGGGATGCTCTCAAAGAAATCCAAGGAGAAGAAAGCTTGCAGCTTGGAAGCAGTGCATTTGGATCATCCTTCTCTCCTAAAGGGCCTGGTCTAGGGGATGCTGGGAGCTGTAGTCCGGAAGAAAGTGTGGATATGTTATTGTGTGTTTTGTTTGCCGGGAGTCGTTTTTGCGCATGTGTTGTATCATCTTTTTGCTTTTTTGGATTTTAAGTCTCTTCTGCTGTGTTTTTTCAGTGTTTTTATGAGTGATGGTCACTTGTTGGCCTAAGAGGTGTGTTTTGTCCAAATTTGGTGTCAATTCATTCAGTGGTTTTCGAGTTACGTTAATCCCACAAATGAACATTACATTTTTTATTTATATAGATTTACCTTATTTATATCCCACTTTCTCTACTCCAAGGGGGACTCAAGGCGGCTTACAAGTGGTACTTATAACATACAATACAATATAACATACAATATTGACTTAAAATAAATTGGATTAAAATTAATACATATTAAACATAATAAAATACACTCCAGTGTTAAAAATACGCCATCCATGGATCAGAGTCTAAGGCCATTCCGAAGTCAATTGGACATTATTCCACATTAAAGTTATTGCACTGCATTAGTTTTCAAAAGCCTGCTCCCAGAGCCAGGTCTTTCCTGTCCTTCTGAAGGCTAGGAGGGAGGGGGCTGATCTAATATTGCTTGGGAGGGAGTTCCAGAGCCTAGGAGCCACCACTGAGAAGACCCTGTCTCTCGTCCCCACCAATCTCCAGGAGTGTTCATAGGGGAGATACGTTCAGACAGATAGGATGGGCCGGAACTGTTTTAACTTTCTTTAAAAGCAACGGGTAAAGAAGCCATGGCAGACCCTTAAAGAGAACCATAATATTCCCCTTTTGAGGTGGCATCTTAAAGGGGACAGTTAAACACTGATGCTGTCCCTTTTCTTCTCCTGCTTTTCAAACCAGTTTGACATCTAGGTCATGCTTTCCTTGATTTTATAAATCACAGAACTTTATGGTCTCCAAACTGTTTTAGCACTTTGAACTCATTTTGCAGACATTGAAGTAAGATAAAGACAAAGGGGGAAAGTGGAAGGAAGACAGAAAAAGTGGGACATGTTGTCATCAGCTGGAAAAGTGGGGTGGCAGCGGATTGATCAGGACTGTCCTGGAAAGTATGATGTTTGGAAAAGGTGGGTCAAACCTACAACATATTAGAATCTGATAGAAACTTACCTATTATAAGAGTAATTAGAGCCACATTCAGAGCGAGGCTTCCTATCAGGAAAGCAACTGTTGTGATTTTGCAGCATTTGGAAGATGAATCTACGCAAAATAAATTTAAATGGTAAATATCATTTTAAACCAGAGGTTCCCAATCTTTTTTTGACCAGGGACCACTCTCCAACATTAGTACCACAAGGGTTACAAATCAGTTTCTGGTCAACTTTAGATTCGGTTTGGTTATTTGGGGTGCTGATTCAGAAAATGACATTGGATAGACCACATCAGCTGTAGTCACTGATACAGAACATATGCCATCCAGTGGTCTCCATCTGTTGCCCACAGAAAACCATATTTAATAATCTAGAGTTGGCTGATGTAATCTTTCATGGGTTCTCAGCATCTCCTCTCCCATCATCCTTGTTTCCTCAGCACTATAAGAGGGTTTAATGAGATCAGTCGTTCTCATTGCCGTGTGGTTTTGGGGCAACGGTGTAGTAATGGTGAGGTTGGAAACATATTTTCATTGTCATGGACCACTGGTGGCCCACGGACCACAGGGTGGGAACCACTGTTTTAAACTGAGGTAAGAGGAATAAAATCAGAGGATGGTTTTGTATCACATTACCACAGACTCCATTTATTTGTTATTTATTCATCTTTTTCCATATACAAGATCCAAGGATGACTATCTAGCCTGCAAATCACTACCTATTTGCTAGCAGCCTTGAACAAGATAAGTACAGTCACTGATCATTTGCACTGAGAGAGAACAAACAGTGCTAACTAATGTCTTAGGCTATGATGTAATGGCAGGCATGACAAATTTCCAAAACAGATACTATACATTTCTTTTGGAGAACTTCCTCATTGCAGGTCTTTGCACTAGTCAGCATGAAGGTGGTTTTTTTGGTGTCATGCAAGCTTCTGGATTCAGCATTTCCTGGGGACACTCTTGTCTTAAAAATCTTTTTATTGAGTATAAGTTTCTACACATTGCTTATCTAGTTCGCATAACAGAGAATTTTAATCCTACTTGTACATTTACCTAAACTAATCCCTTCCTTCTTTCTCAGATATAGTGATACATAGACCCTTCTACATTGCCATACAAAATCCAGGTTATCTGCTTTGAACTGGATTATATAGCAGTGTAGAAGGGGCCTAAGTCTACACTGACATATAATCCAGTCTAAAACAGATAATCTGGATTATATATGGCAGTGAGTAGGTGCCTAAAGGTATGTTTAAACATAAAAATCCTGAAAAGTTTTCAAAACCACCTTGTCCTTCAGAGTCATGTTAAGTGCACCATTACACATCATCCCACTCCTCATACTATATATAAGATCTCTCCTATTTTCTAGTTTCATTTGTTTCTTGTAAATCTTCTGTTGATTTCTCTTTTGTAAAATATGATAGTCCATTTCTGGAGGGTTTTTTTTGGGGAGGGGGGCATTTTTAAGCCCAGATTTATCTTAACAATAAGGCAGTCTTATAAAGATTTGACTGAAGGTGGGTGTGAGTCACACATGTGAGGTCTACAACAAAACATTTTAGGGTGGGGTATTCCTGTTATTAGCTGGTCATGTTCTTGCCCAGAATGCCCCATTTCATAATTTTCATTACCGTAATCATACAAAGACCACAATATAGACAATCAGATGAACCCCTTGAGAAAGGCAGAGAAGATGGCACAACTAAAAATGCCCTTTAATTTATAGCCTCTGACTTTGCCATTCTTGCCAAGGGCAACAAGGGGAGAGCTGGTTGAGCTCCCTCTGTCAGCTCCAGCTCCCCATGCGGGAACATGAGAGAAGCCTCCCACAAGGATGGTAAAACATCAAACATCCAGGTGTCCCCTGGGCGACGTCCTTGCAGACAGCCAGTTCTCTCACACCAGAAGTGACTTGTAGTTTCTCAAGTGCTCCTGACACACACACACACAAATCTATATTCTGTTTTTTTAATCCTAAAAGTACACCTTGTTTTTGCCATTTTATATAAGGAATGCTATTTTTCTACACCATTGTACTAATGGGACTTGAGCATCCACAGATTTTGGTATCCACAGGGAGCCTGGAACCAAACCCAAGAGGATACAGTGGAACCACTTGTACTGATGAGGTGGTTGAATGATCTGACTTGAGAGTAAATCATGGTCAAATTATGTTTCTGAACTATAAATCTGAGAACTCACAGAGCCATGTTGGCTGCGATTCATACACTCTGACAGAAGCATTTACTTCAACCCTCCCCCTTGGAGGAATAGAGACCTAAAAATCTCCTGAAAGATGCCCACCCAAGCTTTGTTTAAAGACCTCCAAAGAATGGGGAATTTACTATACTTCAAGGCAGTCTATTCCACTGTTGAACAGCTGTTACAGTGAAGTTCTTCCCAATGGTTAGAAGGAATCTCTATTCTTCTAATTTGGAGAAACAGAAAACTAGCCCTTAAGGTAGTTAAACTCAGCTGTGATGACAGCAATCATGACAGGGCTGTGCCATCAGGGCTCATATACATTGTAGAATTAATGCAGTTGGACGTAATTTTAATTGTCATGGCTCAAAACTATGGATTGATGAGAATTGTAATTTGGTGAGGCACCAGCACTCTTTGCCAGAGAAGGCTAAAGTCCTTGTAAAATTACAGTTGCAATGATTCCCTAGCATTGAGCCATGGCAGTTTAAGTGGAGTCAGTCTGCATTAACTCTACAGTGTAGATGCATCCTCAGCTTTCACTTAACTAAACATATCCAGAGTTGTTCCTCCAAACAGCCAGCCTAAAATCAACAGCAACCCCAATGCCGATACCTTGTGCCTCCTTTGGAGAGGGCTGCATATAGAGGTCCCTTCTTCTAGCTTCTATTGCCATATATCCATCTTCGTCCTCCATTTCTCAACGGGGGTTGTTTTCAAACAAATCTAGAGAGCAGCAGCTCTGGAAGGGAGTGGATCCGTGAATGCTAGCCTCTCTATCTTTAGACTGGATATTTAAACATTTCCCAGACTACGCAGCTCACAGACAAGTGTTGCAAGTATGATGTAAAGCTGTAGAAAGGGCAGCTCTTGAGTCTTCCTCAAATTACAATGCCATCTGAAGACACCCACATGTTTAGCAATGCATTCTTCCTCTCTCAGGTTTATGCTTGTGTTGCTTGCACAAGAACCCCTACGACATCTGAGAGACAGACGCAGAACCAAAGTAGAAAGGTGTTGCATACCAAGAATCTTAAAGATGGGTTGTTGTAGGTTTTTTTGGGCTATATGGCCATGTTCTAGAAGCATTCTCTCCTGACGTTTTGCCTGCATCTATGGCAAGCATCCTCAGAGGTAGTGAGGTCTTAAAGATACTTCCCTCTCTCTAACACTTGTTGATGAAATTGTTTCACACAATTGGAAACCACCTAAATGCTGGAAGAAGTCTCTCTAGGGACATACAATTTCCAGTATAACAAAATTGAAACGTAATTCCTAGGATAATACAATGTATCCTCATCCTTGAGCTTCACCATCACTTTCCTCTCCAACTCTATGTATCCTTTCCTTTCTCTCCTTCATGTAATCTCTTGTGCAGCCAAGGAAGACCCAAAAGTCTTCCTTATTTCCAAGAACATGAACTTGTGCAAAACCCCAACTTGATTTTTCTTTTTATTATTACTTTATTTAATTTCTATGAAATGTAGTCAATGCGAGGCAAACTGAAATGAAGTGTTTTAACCTCTGCATGACTCTTGAGCAATATCAAATATTCCAGGAATTTTTCATGCCCTTTTGACTGCTAAAAGATTGATATTCCAATATTGGAAAGACAGTTTTTCTGTATCTGTAATCTAATGGAGCTCCCAAAAAAACACAGAAATAGACCTGGGAGGTCATCAAGTCTGTCCTCCCACAAGAAGCAGTAAAAAATGACTAAATGGAGACTTTGGATGTATCATGAGACAACGTGACTCACTGAAAAAGATGATAAACATCAGTTAAGGTGAGAGCGGTAGAAAAAGAGGAAGCCTGTGGTTGCATCTACACGACCGGATTAATACAGTTTGACACCACTGTAGCCGCAACGTCTCATTGTTGTGGAATCATGGGAGCTGTAGTTTGGTGAGTCACCAACCCTCATTGGGAGAGAAGTCTAAAGGCTTTGTTAAAGTACCTCCCCTAGAATTCTATAGCGTTAAGTTATGGCAGTTAAAGTAGTATCAAACTGCATTCATTCTACAGTGTAGATCACATGCATCAAACTCAAGGCCCATGGGCCAAATCCAGCCCATCATGTCATTTTATGTCACCCTCCCCATGCTGGACTATGACTCCTGTATTCCTCACATTGGACATCATGACCAGAGCTGATGGGAGTTGTGATACAGTAATGCTTGGAAGGCTGTAGTTCATTCTGTTTAGTCAGAGAGTGGGATTTGAACTTCGTTACAAAGCTTGTCAATATGATGTCTAACTTCAAAATGTCCTTTAACTTTTATCCAATCTCAGAGCCACAAGTGCTGTTGGGTTACCTTTCCCATTATCCCCAGTCTGCATGGTGGATAATTCAAAGTGATGGGACTTATGGTTCAATAAGATATGGGGAATAGACTGGGTAAAAACTAAAGAATACCAACCCTTGTGTAAAAACATTATAGTTGGCCCACTGTATCCACAGATTCCCTGTCTTTGAAGGTAATCATATGGCTGATGTGGTCCTTAATGAAAATTAGTTTGACACCTCTGGTTGTAGATGAACTCTCAAAGGTCTCATTGCAATGTTTTCCTCTCAAATGGACTAAAATGCATTGACTAGAGATTATCAACAAAGTTTGCATCAGTGACGTACAGCAGGAGAACTCTCCAGATCCATAGACTAGTGATGCCAGCGTCACTTTTGTGTTGTAAGATGTAGGAGCACATGACTTTCTATCCAGACTGCTGGGCAATTGTACATTGCAATGTCTGTCTTGCAGCATTGCCACTGAAGCAGAACATTTAGGAAATACTCTTCCTGTCTTGGGAGTGTGACACCTTGACGTTCACACACAGACATGAAGTGGTTTAATAGGACCACAGATGAAAGGATCCATGCCTGGCCAGTGTATACTAAACCGAATGGGCCAGAACACAGAAACACTCAGCATGTTGAAGACAAGCCACAGAGATTTATTCAAAAAGGGATGCAAGTACAAGTGGATGCTTCAAAAGTATGAGTATAAACCATACAGAGGAAGCAAAGCATCCTGTACAGTTTGACAGCTATTCAAAACTCCCACTTCCTCCCCTGATTGATCAGAAAGGGGGTTGGTCAGGATCTATGTCCTGATTGGCCAGAAGTCCCACTGATGTCACTGCCTCTAGGAGGGGATTCCCTTTGATAGGGAAATAATTGCTAGGGATTGGCCATCTAAGGGAGGAGGCATCAACCATGAAGGCAATGCCAAAGAGATGATAATGAGCTTTTAGCTAGCTCAGCTGTGAAGTTCCATATTGACAAGAATAGGAGTTTCAGAGGATAAAGTTGCAAGGTTCCTGAGATAAAAGGTAATTATCTTGGGCAATCAAGGGCTGGGCTGCCAATGAAGGGGTTTAATAAATGTATATACTCTGAACTTCTGTTTCCATGGTCAATTTAACTAGATAAATAATTCTGGGGTTTTCTAGGTTGACATGGGAAACTATTATTTATTTATTTATTTATTTACTTTGCTTATATACCGCTGTATCTCAAGCCCGAAGGCGACTCACAGCGGTTCACAAACAGTAGAAACAGTAGAAACAGCAGTGGTTCCATACAACATATAACAATTGACTTAACACATTATCCATAAATTACCAATAAGCAATTACAATGCACAATTATTACAAAAAACAACCGTACCCAATCTTCTCATCATCCAAGCGTAGTCCAGGTTCGTCGTCCATTGTTCCATTCCTATGTTCCATTACCAGATTGCACTAAATTACTCAAACGCCTGCACAAACATCCAGGTCTTCACCTTTTTGCGGAATACCATTAGAGATGGTGCTAGTCTAATGTCCGTAGGAAGGGCGTTCCACAGCCGAGGAAACTATCTCTGCATATACAGTATGAACAATGGATTTTGATGATCACTTGGCTGGGAAACGGCCAGAGGGATTTTTCCAATCTTTCTGTTCTTCTGAAAATACTGTATCTCAGCAGGATTAAGGAAAGGTGATGGTCTCTGGGCTACATCTGGTTACTTTTTTATAAAGGAATGCTTACATTTTCTATAAGAAATAGATGCAGTACATGGAAAGTTACACAGAAAGTCAAGGAAAGCAGATATAATTTATTAAAGTGTTAGAAATGATAACACCTATTTTTGGAGGGGGGGGGGTTAAGTTACCTCTAGTCCATTCTCACTCTTTGATGCTTCAGAATTGAAAACTTCAAAAAAGTATTTTTAAAATAATATATTTATTGTGGAAGCTTGGCTTTTTTTGGGGGGGGGGGGGATCATTGTACCTTGGTTAGAGCCCCCAGTGGCACAGTGGGTTAAATCCCTGTGCAGGCAGGACTGAAGACTGACAGGTTGCAGGTTAGAAACCGGGGATAGCGCGGATGAGCTCCCTCTGTCAGCTCCAGCTCCTCATGTGGGGACATGAGGGAAGTCTCCCACAAGAATGGTAACACATCAAAATATCCGGGCGTCCCCTGGGCAATGTCCTTGCAGACGGCCAATTCTCTCACACCAGAAGCGACTTGCAGTTTCTCAAGCCATTCCTGACACAACCAAAAGCTTGGGAACAGGCTAATACAACAAAAAGTGATCATTAGGAGATTCAGTTAGAGCTGTTCTTCCTAGGTGACATGTACACGGGCCACTTAAGTCAATTTCAAACCAGTATTGAAGAAAATGGTTTCTCTATGCATGTGATTACATAGGAATCCTGAGATCAGTTTGAATCCTGGATGGTGATGACACAAACCACAGAGCACTGATGTGCATTTAGGACTCTCTTTCCTGCACTTTTATGGGAGGTTGTTGTTTGGCTGCTACAGTGGCCCCATTTACACTGCTACTACAATGCAGATTGAACCGGGTTGTATTTGTTGTGCTCAATGCAGTTCAATGTAATCCAGTCTGTATTGTATGAGTGTACACTGGCCATATAATCCAGACTTAACTGGATGGATTTTCTGGGAATGTAGATGCAGTCTGCTTTGTATGAGTCCACACTCTACTCCTATTGATGCATCCTAGAAAGTAGAGCCCCTGGTGGTGCAGTGGGTTAAACCCCTGTGCCGGCAGGACTGAAGACCGACAGGTCGCAGGTTCGAATCCGGGGAGAGGCGGATGAGCTCCCTCTATCAGCTCCAGCTCCTCATGCGGGGACATGAGAGAAGCCTCCCACAAGGATGATAAAAAAACCAAAAATCATCCGGGCACCCCAGGGCAACATCCTTGCAGATGGCCAATTCTCTCACACCAGAAGTGACTTGCAGTTTCTCAAGTCATTCCTGACATGACTAAATAAATAAATAAATAAAAATTCCTAGAAACTCATTGGCTTTTTTAGCTGCTGCATCACACCGATTCAGCTGCTCCTCCATTAAGAATCCTTGATCCCTAAAGAGACTTATTAAAATGCATTAAACTGGATTATATGGCAGTGTAGATGCATCCAGTTTAATGCAGTTAATTTGCATTCTAAAACTGGATTACCTGGCAGTGTAGATCCAGGCAACACTATAGAATTAATTCAGTATCACTTTAACTGTAATGACTTAGGTATGGAATCCTCTGAGTTACAGTTTTGCAAGGTCTTTCTGTGCTGTGCCTTAGTAAACTACAGCTCTCAGGATTCCATAGCATTGTGCAATGGCAGCCAAAGTGGGGTCCAACTGCATTAATTTCCACAGTGTAGGTCCACCCTTTTTCAGATTTTTGCTATACAAGGATTGGGTTGTAAATGCAAAAGGAGGAAGACTACATTTCCCAGAGACAGCTGGGCTTCCTCTCCCAGAGTCTTGCATGTCCTGATTTTTGATTGGCTAAAACAGGAAAACATGGGAATCCCGGACGTCAGCCATTGGCTGAGACGAAAAGTGGGCGTGGCGTGATGGGAGCAAAGTCCCTGGAGGGGGAGGCAGTGTGTGTTTGAAGAGTTTGCAGGAAAGAAAGAGACAGAAACACTTTGGAAGGATTTGTGGATCTTTTGCACTGCATTCACACAGACAGGTAAAGGAAGTGGATTACCAAAACGTTTCCAAAATGTACAGCAAGGAAATGGTTTCTTCCTTTAACCCCCAAATCTGGATTGAATCCTAAAATCCATAATAATTATTATTATATTTATTTATGTATTATTTTGTTCTCCCACTAAATGGCTAATAATTGCTCTTTGTGTATTTTTGGGAATGGGAAACAAAATAACACCAACATCTCTTAAAATTAAAGGACAAGAATTAAGAACATGTAAAATGGAAAAAAAGGTATTTCAGAGATGATGATGATGATGATGATGATGATGATGATGATGATAATGATGATATTTATGTCATGCTTTTCTTTCCTGATGGAGACCTAGAAAGAGGCCCACAAACACTTCTTGGATATTTTTTGGGGTGTGGGTAAGTACAACTATTGATATTATGGATAAGGGGATCCCTACTGAACAGAGTTGCCTTTTACTGATTTGGGCCATCTGTTGCTGTGGTTATTATTATTACTGTCATCATCACCATCATCTAACCCAGTGGTTCTCAACCTGTGGGTCCCCAGGTGTTTGGCCTACAACTTCGAAATCCCAACCAATTTACCAGCTGTTAGGATTTCTGGGAATTGAAGGCCAAAACATCTGGGGACCCACAGGTTGAGAACCACTGGTCTAACTATTCAAAACATTGTTTCAAGACTCATTTAACTATCTCTGCAGTACTCCAGACTCTCGGACATTGGTTCTCACAGACTTTCACTTACAATCTGTGTGGATCACTTCACTTTATTTCTTAATTAGCCGCTCTCCACCAAGGTGTTCCGAGCGACTTACAATCTAAAATAGCATTTGCACAATATAAAAACATTCAACATAAAAACATTCAACAGATTCCTCAGTCTCCAATTTTAAAGAGTTCCAATTTTTATGCTTGACCCCATTTTACTACTCTTGAGATCTGAACTAGAGTTTGGGAACAGGTTAGAGAACCTGTACAGAGGAAACAACCCAGAGGGCCCTTCCACACAACCATATAACCCAGAATATGAAGGCAGAAATCCCACAATATCTGCTTTGAACTGGGTTATCTGACTCCACACTGCCATATATTCCAATTCAAAGCAGATATTGTGAGATTTTATTCAGGTGTGTGGAAGGGGCTATAGTATTTATTTATTTAAAAGTTTTGTATACTGACCTTCTCACCTCTCTTGAGGGACTCAGACCGGTTTCCAACCATAATATCACATACAATCAATAAAGCATCATAATACATATTACAGTAAAACATTAAAACAGCAATTACAATCAATAACTATAATGGTCAGTCGTCACACTAAAATCGTTGCTCATCATCCTCCATCCATATCTCAGGGTGTTGGCTCACTCGTCGAATGCCTGTCTCCATAACCACGTCTTCACCTGTTTCCTAAATGTCAGGATAGAAGGGGCGGTTCTGATCTCCAGTGGGAGAGAGTTCCAGAGTCGAGGGGCCACCACCGAGAAGGCCCTGTCCCTCGTCCCCACCAGACTCGCTTGCGAGGCTGGTGGGACCAAGAGCAGGGCCTCTCCAGACGATCTTAATAATCTTGATGGTTCATAGGGGAGAATACGTTTGGAGAGGTAAACAGGACCGGAGTTGTTTAGGGCTTTATAGGTTAACACCAGCACTGGTTTTATCACTGAAAGTATCTCTTAAGCCTCTGAGTTTTGTTTTTCATTTTTTTACTCTTTACATTAAAAGTGAGTTCTGAATAATATATCTGTCTCAATAGTGTTTGGAGATGGGAGGATGGAAAACAAGGGGTATGCAAGCCCCAGATTTATCCAGCTATAAGAAACCCTTTCCTCCAAAGTTTAGAGAGTCACTACCAGCATAAGTGGAGCTTTCCAGGCTGTAAGACCAATGTTTAGACTCAAATCAGATTTTCTAAGAGAGAGAATTGTTGATTGAGAAGCTTGTGGACATTCCCTCTTCCTGTTTCCTACTATGACATTTGCCAAGGAAAGCATCAAAAAGTCCCCCTGCTCTGGGAACATCAGGCAATGATGGCAGTTTTCTAATCCTGAAATGTCTCCCCTTTCTTTTGCCTTCAGAGAGAGAAGAATGGAGTCAGAATCTCAACCGAAAGTTCGTCCTCCTTCCAGGAGAAGAAAACAAGTTGGAGTAGAAGAAGTTCTCCAAAAGCTTATCAGAAGGAGGATAAAGGTGGGTAAAGAAGCACGACATGTGAAGAGAGACTGAAGACAGAAGTGAACAAATGGCATATTCCTTCATTATTTCTCCAGCCAATGACACAGGATGGTAATGCTGACTTTTTTCCAATGGCGTTCGTGGGGACCTCAACATTGGAGGTCACATAGTTAGTAATTTTGCCTTCTTCGAAGGAGATGTCCCATTAACCAATTAACCTATTGGGCACCTCCATTGTATCCCTTGTAGGTAGTCTTCAGAAGGATCCACATCACAGGGCAAAGCCTCTTTCTGCATCTGACGCAGCAGAAGCTGTCAGTGCAAGTAGCAGGGCTCACGGATGGTAACATTGTAATCTCTTGCTCACAGAAAGCAAACATAAAGAAGATTAGGTGTCGCACACCAAGGTGGTAATGAGCACCTTTGAACCCACAAACACACCAATGTTCTTTAATAAGGAAGCGATTTATTGATTAAGTATAAAGCAATTGGCAAAAGGTAAAATGCAATCCAAAAAGAATATAAAAAGAAGTTCAAACAGCAATCCAAAAACAGTGAACTGAACTAAGCGTGGAGCCAACAGGAAATTGAAGGTGACCTGGGAAGGTCAAGAGCTTGAGCACTATAGATAAAGGTAAAGGTTTTCCCCAACATTAAGTTTAGTCATGTCCAACTCTGGGGTGTGGTGCTCATCTCCATTTCTAAGCCGAAGAGCCAGCGATGTCCGTAGACACCTTCAAGGTCATGTGGCTGGCATGACTGCATGGAACGTTGTTACCTTCCCGCCAGAGTGGTACCTATTGATCTACTCACATTTACACGTTTTCAAACTGCTAGGTTGGCAGAAGCTGGGGTTGACAGCGGAAGCTCACGCCGCTCCCCGGAATCGAGCCTGCAACCTTTCAGTCAACAAGCTCAGCAGCCTCTATCCCCATCCTAAATATCTCCATGTCACCTTAGATTGAACACTAACATTTAGGAAATACTGTGCGAACACCAAGCACGAAGTAGCTGCACAAAGTAACATCCTGCAGAAATTTACTGGTAGCACGTGGGGTGCAGACCCAAAGATAGTAAGAACATCAGCCCTGGCCTCATCTTTTTCAACTACTGAGTATGCCTGCTCTGTTTGGCACAAGTCTGCCTGCACGAAGCAGGTGACTATTGCACTGAATAAAATATGTAGGATAATCACAGGATGTCTCAAACCTATACCTGTTGATAGACTGTATAAGCTAGCTGGCATTGCTCCTCCCTCAACCCCCTACCCTCCCCAATGTGTGACGGAAAGTTGCTGCCAACTGTGAGAGGAATAAGGTTGAGCACTGTGAAAGCCATCTACTTCATGGCTATCAGCTTCCTCCCAGTAGACTCAAATCAAGGGAAATCTTCATAAGAACCACCATTCTTCTTAATGTTCCCCCAACAAGAGTATCCCCCTGGCAGCTAAACCAGGAAATCCCAAATGAATGACCCCCCACGACGGTCTGCCTCCAGGGGCAAACCAAGAATGGTCAACTTGGAAGTCCCTGAAGACATTCAGGAGTGGTGTTGTCTGATCAAAATATTAAATATTAAACCTAGAACAATCCTCCACCTTGTGCAACTGTGGAGCAGAACAAACAACTCAGCACTTGTATGCTTGCCCGCAATGCCCTGCCTCATGCACAGAGGAAGAACTGTTTTAAGTTATAGAAAATGCAGTCACTGTTGCTCGGTTTTGATCTAAAATTATTTAGCTGCTTATGTTCCCTCAATTTTATCAGTTTAAAACTTATTTATTTATGCAATGCTTTTGATATGAAATAAATCTAAAATGTTTGGGACCAGAAGTGTTAGGGATTTTGGAATTTTTTTCCAGATTTTGGCATACCCATATTTGCACACAATTTGGAGAAGAGACCCAAGTCTAAATACAAAAATTTTGTTGTTCTTCATAGATGCCTTATACATATAGCCTGGAGGTAATTGCGTACATAATATTTGCAATAATTTTGTGCATGAAATAAAGTTAGTGCCCATTGCATCACCTAAAAGCAAAACTCTCACTATTACAGCTGTCCCATGTGGATAATTTTGGATTTCAGACTGTTTTGGAATTCTGGATAAGGGTTGTAGTAAGAAAAGCATTGAAATAGAAATGATGCAGATTAAGAAAAGATTAAGCTGAGGATGATGGCATTCATAAGAAGACAATGGATTCCCACCAATACAAAAAACACAAATCCACTAAAAGTTGTGGTACATAAATGACAAAGGTCAATATTGCCTAACAGTTTGTATATTACAATATTACAATTGTTTTTTGTTGAATATTGTAATATACAAACTGTTAGGCAATATTGATGATGGCATTCATGCCAGGATTCCAGATAAGGGATAGTCAACCTTTATGGCAAGTTCTAGAAGGCTACATATCTATGCATGTCAAAATACACAAAATAATCTATGTCAGGAGAAAATACTCAGGGAGCATAAAGCATGTGATATTCAGTATATACTTCAGTGTAATTAAATGTATTCACATAGAGTGAAATGAAAAGGAGCAACTGCTCTCAAACATAATACATGTAATTTTTTTTATCGTGTCAGGAGCGACTTGAGAAACTGCAAGTCGCTTATGGTATGAGAGAATTGGCCGTATGCAAGGACGTTGCCCAGGGGACGCCTGGATGGTTTGATGTTTTTATTATCCTTGTGGGAGGCTTCTCTCATGTCCCCGCATGACAAGCTGGAGCTGACAGAGGGAGCTCATCTGCCTCTCCCCGGATTCAGACCTGAGACCTGTCGGTCTTCAGTCCTGCCGGCACAGGGGTTTAACCCACTGCGCCACCGGGGGCTCCAATACATGTAATACAGTCATATAAAGTAAATTATAAAGGAGCAACCACTCTCAAACATACAGTTGTAAGATCCCAATATATACGTGTTTCAGGGAAGCATATGCAATATAAACTCTTTTCAAATAAGGTGAGAAGACAATGAGTCATAAAGTCCACAATCCAGAAGAGAGTTCAAATGGCAGTAGTATCCAAATGATGATGGAGCTTAGCTCTCACAAGAATATGACTGTATTACATGTATTATGTTTGAGAGCAGTTGCTCCTTTTTCATTTCACTCTATGTGAATACATTGAATTACACTGAAGTATATACTGAATATCATATGCTTTATGCTCCCTGAGTATTTTCTCCTGGCATAGATTATTTTGTGTATTTTGACACCCTACAAGTATTCTGGCATAGTGTATAGTACATATCTATGCATGTCTGATGATTTCACATTAATGCCTGTAGTCAGGATCTTGAAATTATATGTACATTTTGGAAGGAAAGATGGGTTTTTTTTTTCTTTTCTTCCAGATGGCAGTGACTTTTGAAGATGTGGCTGTGTATTTCACGGAAGGCCAATGGAATCTGTTGGATCCACATCAGAGAAAATTGTACAAGGAGGTCATGATGGAGAACTATGCAAATGTGTCTGCCCTGGGCAAGGAGCTTGGCTGTCCATTTGGTAGGTGTTTGGGGGTTTTTCTGCCCTTCAATTTATGAGTGTGATTTAGAAATTACAGTGGCCATGATTGTTTGACAACATAGTACTTTAAACAGCCAGCTTCTTTTCACTCTGACCCCAGAAACCATTATATACTGAGGTGAAGAACCCCTCACAACTACAGACTGTAGTTGTGAGGACTTATTCAGCTCAGTATATCATGGTTTCTGGGATAAGACCTAAATGAGAGCACCTTTTATGATTAAAGTAAAGAATTATAGAGTATACTGTATAGCTTATTTTCCTTCTGGTTTCATAACTCTGCCCTCTTAGTTTATTTCTCAATTTGTTTTACTCTCTGGAGGTCCAGGTTCTTTTGCACAATTAAAACTTGTGTGCCAGCTGTGCCCGTACCTTGAAAAGCCAGATCTGGCCACGGTGGTCCAGAATGCTGGTTATGTCGAGAATGGATTACTGCATTGCACTCTCCATGGGGCTGACTTTGAAGACATTCTGGAAATTACAACTACAGTGTTTGCTCACTTATCATGGGTGTTCCATTCCAGGACCACCCGCGATAAGTGAAAATCCATGAAAGAGGGACGCTATATTAATTTTAATATGTATACACTATTTTAGCATAATGTATAAATATTAAAATTAATATAGCATCCCTATTTTGCATTTGTTTTACCTGCGCTTCCTTACCCTTGCCTCCTGCGCCTCTGGACTCCGCACTTCCAGGGTCTGTGGAGGCCAGAGAGGCAGGCCTTTCCCACCGCGCCTCTGGCTGCTGCACTTCTGGGGTTTGCGGAGGCCAGAGAGGCAGGTTTTCGCCACTGTGCCTCTGGCTTCCGCACTTCTGGGATCTGTGGAGGCCAGAGAGGTAGGCCTTTCCCACCGTGCCTCTGGCCGCTGCTCTGCCGGGTCTGCAGAGTTTAGGGAGGGCGGAGGGAGTCCCGGCCTGCACGCAAGCCTCCGAGTCCCATTGTATGTAATCTACAGACCCACTAAGAAAATCCAACAAATGCTACGTTCAGCAAAGGACAAGAGGGATACTTTCACGTCTCCAGGAGTCTACTGGATACCATGCAGCTGTGAACAAATCTACATAGGGACCACCAAACACAGCAGCATTGCCCAAACATGAATCAAGGAACATGAAAGGCACTGCAGACTACTTCAACCTGAAGTTAGCCATAGCAGAGCACCCGATGAACCAATCTGGACACAGCATATTATTTGAGAACACAGAAATGCTGGACCACTCTCACAACCACCTTGTCAGTCTACACAGAGAAGCCACTGAAATCCACATGAAGCATGTGAACACTTTTAACAGAAAGGAGGAAACCATGAAAATGAACAAAATCTAGCTACTAGTATTAAAAAAAACTCTAAAATTATAACAGCAATAAAGAACAACACTCAAACACAGAGGAATTCCAGACAAGAAAGAATCAGGGACAGCTAATCACCTCTCAACAATGGGAGAAAGAGAGGGATTCCACTTATACAAAGCCTCTCTTAAGCAGATATTCCAAGATGCCTGTCCAGCTGTCAACACACTTTCCTCTCTTTTAGCAAAATAGCCAAGGAGGGAGGGGCGAATTCCCCACACACAATGAGTCTTTTTCCTTCTCTGTGGCAGTGGTTCCCAACTTTTGGTCCCACAGGTGTTTCCCACAATTCCTAAAAGTTGGCAAGCTGGCTGAGATTTCTGGGAGTTGAAGTCCAAAACACCTGGAATACCAAAGGTTGGGAACCACTGCTCTATGGGATGTATACATGGGTGTTTCTCTTTATTTGCCATTTCAGACTCTTTCCAGGAGATCTACTCTGAACCACCATTGTCCAGACTTTTTTTCCATGTCAGGAGCGACTTGAGAAACTGCAAGTCGCTTCTAGTGTGAGAGAATTGGCTGTCTGCAAGGACATTGCCCAGGGGGCACCCAGATGTTTTACAATCCTGTGGGAGACTTCTCTTGTGTCCCCACATGAGGAGCTGGAGCTGACAGATGGGAGCTCACCCTGCTCCCCGGATTCGAACCGCCGACTTTTCAGTTAATAGTTCTGTCAGCACAAGGGTTTAACCCATTGCACCACCAGAGGCTCCTATTGTCCAGCTGGAAAGAAGCGTTTGAGACCATCACTCAAATCTATTTCTCCTTCCTCCTTTATCTGCCAATTGCCAGAGAAAGGGCCTCTGGCAAGGAAAGGAAACATGAGATCTTCCAAATGGTGCAGGACATCAGCTTTCATTGGGCACAGTCAGCATTCATCAGCCTAGCTGTGGTGAAAGTTCTTGTTTCAGAACATCTGGGCAGGCCAGAAGTTCCTCATTTGTGACCTACAAATAAAAGCAACTTCCTTTTCCATCCTTTTTCCTATGGAAGTCATTTTCTGAATGTTGACATGTCTTTCAAATCGAGCTTCAGGTTACACACCAGAGATTACCCAACTACTTAAAAATGTTTATACTGGTTGTCTTTGTGAAAACTTAAACTGAAAGCATACTAACACTAGATATTCCATTTTTTTCTTAATTTTAGTAAAAATTTGACCTGTCAGGTTCTAAAAGGACATTTGCAGGGTGATAAGCCAGAAATCCTTTCTTTATATGTTTGTTACAGGATTTTATTTTTAAATGTCTGTATATGTCTCTTTAATGTGTAACCTAATACTGCATTCAGTATGTAGCTTCCAACTTCTCCTCACAGGTTACATCAATATAATCTCCAGCCAACTTCCAGAAAATTTAACTTCAATCCTGTAACTTGACATGAGACTTTACTGTTTTAGTTGAAACAAAGAAATGTTTATTTATGAATTCTTATGCACATGAAGCATATTTGTTACACAGTACTTTACTTCAGTTCCACTTGGATATTGTTACGCCTGTCTTTTACTTTTGAGAATACATAAAACTGTTACTATATAATTTTCATAACAGTTTAACTTACGTCAACTTGGTTGACGTAAGTTAAACTGTTATGAAAATTATATAGTAACAGTCTTTCAAATATAATTCCTCCTCAGCCTTCCAACTGGATAACTTATATTATTTATTTATTTACTGTATTTGTATACTGCCTTTCTCAGCTTTTTGGTGACTCAAGGCAGTTTACAGGCAACAAGTAATATACATAATATCAAAATACACATAAAAACATTAAATACAGTATAAAACCATAACAGAAATAATAAGCAATAGCCAGGAGACAGGTGTTTTTAAAGTCTCTTCCTCGGTCCCCTTTCTCCTCTTAGCTGGGTTGAAGGCGGGGGGAGGGGAAAGGGGCTGAGAGAAGCAGCAGGATTTCGTCTTTCTCCTCCTGAGGTGGCAGGCAGATGTAGTAAGCAACAGCCAGGAGACAGGTGTTTTTAAAGTATTTTCCTCTGTCCCCTTCCTCCTCTTAGCTGGCTTGAGAGGGGGAGAGTAGCAGCAGAATTTCCTCCTTCTCCTCCTGAGGTGGCAGGCAGACACAGTAAGCAACAACCAGGAGACAGGTGTTTTTGAAGTCTCTTCCTCTGTCCCCTTCCTCCTCTTAGCTGGCTTGGGAAGGGGAGAGTAGCAGCAGGATTTCCTCCTCCTCCTCCTGAGGTGGCAGGCAGATGTAGTAAGCAACAGCCAGGAGACTGTTCTTTTAAAGACTCTTTCTCAGTCTCTTTACCCACTCTCTAAACCAATTCCTATTCAGGGATAGGGAACATGTTTTAAAAAGCTGTTTCCCACCCACTTGACATTGCACGATAAAAAGTTACTTCCTTTTCATCAATAGTCTGACTGTAAACTTAGTCAAAAGGACTCTCTATCTCTCAGTGACAGAGGACTTAGGCTCACATTAGTCTCTTTTTACTTCAGTATCACAACTGTAGACTCAAACTAGGAACCTTTTCACTTTAGCTCCCCTGGCTAGAGACTGAATAATTTTCAAAATGATCCCTCTTTTTTTCCCAGTTAGCTCCGCCCCTTTTCTTGCTGGCCACTCTAAAATGGATACATTTCTACTGCAGAGGCTAGGCAAGCATGGTGATGAATCAACCAATCAGATGTAGCAAACTCCTGCCTGTCCATGCTATAATATCCACATTAATAAACATAGACAAAACCTCCATTATAATTATTTTTCCGTTACACGGGGCTCCCCCCTAAAAAACCAAAACAAAGCAATCTTCTTGGAGGTGCATGGAATGAATCTGTCAGTTTTACGACATATCTTGATATTTTCTTTCTCAAGGAGGCATTCTACTCCCCAAACCTGAACTCATCTCCTGGTTGGAACAAGGGAAAGAGCCATGGGTGCAAGATCTGCAGGAACTGAATGAAATTGAGAACGTCAACACTTACTCAGGTGAGAGAGGTGAGCGAGGCATCCCAACAAAGGCTCTTAGGAACACTGATCCCTCATTTTTAAAATACTGGGATTCTCTGTTATGCCTATAAAACAGTGGTTCTCAACCTGTGGGTCCCCAGATGTTTTGGCCTTCAACTCCCAGAAATCCTAACAGCTGGTAAACTGGCTGGGATTTCTGGGAGTTGTAGGCCTAAAATAGAGTTGGGTTTTAGAGTTGCTCTAAAATCATAGAGTTGGAAGAGACTAAAAGGGCCACCCAGTCCAACCCCATTCTGCCAGGCAGGAATACACAACCAAAGAGCCCTCAATAGATGGTCATCCATTGTCTGCTTTAAAACCTCCAGAGAAGGAAACTCAACCACATCACTGTTCAGCATATTCCAACAGCTTTAACCGTCCTTCAATTTGAATCAATTTCTCCTTATCCTAGTCTCCAGAACAGCAGAAAGTAAGCTTGTCCCTTCCTCAATGTGACATCCTTTCAAATATTTAAACATGGTTACCATTTTGTTGCCTATGTTGACACAGCAAGTACAGTCATCCCTCCACATTCACTGGCGTTAGGGGCACAGGGTCCCCGTAAAAGTGAAAAATAGCAAATAAAGAAATTAGTAATGTTTTAACCTGGAAGAATTTCTATCTAAGTATTTTTGAGTCCTCCAGCATGACTCTGCAGTCAATCTTTGTAGACTAGACACTATTGATTGTCTTAGAAAACTAGAAAATTGTGCTTTCTAGACATCTCTAGGTCCTCTAGCATGACTGGACAAATGTAAGATTCTGGAAGACCTACAGATTACTAGAGAGAACATTTTAAATCAGATATTTCAATAAGCAAATCTGCAAAGTCAAAATCACAGATGTGAAGTTTCCCCACTTACAGTGATGTCTTCCTTATTGAGCATGCGCGATTACCATTAATTAAGTACTTCCGAAGATTCGTAAGTTATGTTAAGTTCCAAAATTTTCACCACCCAAAATTTGGAAAGACTTTAACAAGAAAGTGCCAGCACTCCCTATTTTTGGAAGGAGTTTAGAACCATTTTTAATCAATCACACATGCCTAGCAGTTGCACCATCAGGGTGGCACATATGAGTGTGGAAAAAAACTTGAAGCCTTCGCCTTCACATTGATGTAGGTTTCATATATGTGTGTTCACTAAAAAGTTTACCATGAGTAACCCTGTATTGTTTAAGAAATCCCTAGGTTCTTTAGTGCTATTTCAGTTTCCAACAGAGATTGGCCATAGAGTCATGCAACATGCTTTGCTCTGCTTCTTCTCCCTGCAGGTGAATATAGGACAAAGCATCCTCATATAGTCCATGGAAGAAATCCTGTTCAGAAACCCAAGAGTGTAAAATACTCCGGAAAGAAATTATATAAATGCCCGGAATGTCAGATATGTTTTGCTGAGGCAGCAGGTCTCCGGTCCCACCGGAGGGTTCACAGGAGAGAGAAACCTTGTCAATGTGTGGAATGTGGGAAGTGCTTTCCTTGGAAATCTGAGCTCTGGAGGCATGAGAGAGTTCACACGGGAGAGAAACCGTATCAATGCTCAGAGTGTGGAGACACTTTTGGTTGGAAGTCGCACCTTGTGAGGCACAAAAAGAGCCACCGGGGTCTCCAGGACGGAGACAAACCATTTCAGTGCAGGGAGTGTGGGAACCGTTACACCCGGAACGAAAATCTCATGATCCACGAAAGAACCCACACGGGCGAGAGACCCTACAAATGTCTGGAATGTGGGAAGTGTTTTTTCCGATCCGCAATTTTTGTCCGGCACCAGAAGCTTCACATGGAAGAGAAACCGTACAGTTGTTTACAGTGTGGGAAGTGTTTTGTTCGTAAATCCTGTCTAATAAAGCATGAGAAAGCCCACGAAGAAAAGGAATACTATCAGTGCTTGGAGTGTGGGAAGAATTTTGTTCGTAAATCCTGTCTTTTGAAACATATGAGAGTCCACACAGGAAAGAAGCCTTATCAATGCTTGGAGTGTGGGGAGTGTTTTGCTGTTTCTTCAGCCTTGGGAAGACACAAAAGAGTCCACATTGGAGAAGAAGGGGGGTGCTATGAGACAGTGACTATCTAGTGCTGTACTCATTTGTGAATTATGGTAAATGTTTTTGATGCAACACAGTGAGGAACTATTTTCCCCTAGAAAGTTCTGCTTATGTTGTGTATCAAGAATAATCAGAATCAAAATGCATATGGGTTGTTGTAGACTTTTTGGGTTGTATGGCCATGTTCTAGAAGCATTCTCTCCTGACATTTCACCTGCATCTATGGCAGGCATGTCATAAGTACTTTTTAAAACATTAAATAGGTTTTTTTATTCCGCTTTCAGCGAGACAGGTTGCATTAGGCACTTTCAGAGAAAGAAGTAGACACAGACTCCAGGACTGGGTTTTATAATAATTATATTGGTTGCATAGACAAAGGGGATTTATTTTATTTTATTTTATTTTATTTTATTTACAACATTTCTGCCCCGCTCTTCTCAACCCCCTCAGGGGGACTCAGAGCAGCTAACAATGGCAACAATTCAATGCCGCAAAAATACATTATAACAGCAAGATAAAATCATACAATACAGTAGATTAAAAACACATATTAATTATACAATCGTAAAGCCATTTCCATTATGACAGTCATATGGTCTGGTTCAATGTTCACAGTGCCGTTGCGTCTGCTAGCCAAAAGCCTGGTTCCAAAACCACGTTTTTGGTTTTGGTTTTTTTCTGAAAGAAAGAGAGAGGGCACTGATTTAATTTCACTGGGGAGCGAATTCCACAAGCGGGGGGTCACCACCGAGAAGGCCCTGTCCCTCGTCCCCACCAGACACGTTTGCAAAGAGTCTGGCGCATCAACATTTACATCATATTGCAACATTTACACATATACTCTAACATTCAATCATTCATTCATCATTCATTCATTCATCAAGCATTCTTACCATTCTTCTTGTTGAAGATGATCAGCTTCTTGAGAGGAGGCGGCTGCTCACAATGGTGTTCAGAAATGGTGTTCAGTTGGTCTGACAAACTCTTTCTGAGAGAAGGGTCCTTTTATGTAGTATTTTCTGCTGACGTGGTTCTGAAAGTTGTAAATTATTGACAGACAGATTCCATCAGTTCCTGGACAGATGTTGATTTTGTTTAATTGGCTTTCCTTATCAAGGAGCCCTGTAAACATTTCTGTAAGGAGCCACAGTGTTGAGTTCCTTACTTAAAAGAACCATTGTCTTTAGCAATGTAAACAAGTTGTTTTTCCACCAAGAGTTCATCAAGTAAGCAATGTCAACAATTAATCATTTGTTTCAAGCCTCATCAGCAATTTTTAATTACGGTCCATGAGTTCTTCACCTGTTTATTGTAGGTTTCTAGGCCTCATTCCTTAGAATGGTATCTTCAGTCCAATTAGGCCGCATTCGTACGCCTTTCATACAAATCACTCAAACTATACATTATTATTTTTTTATCATAACAGGCATCCTCAGAGGTTGTGAAGTCTGTTGGAAACTAGAAAAATTGGGTTTATATATCTGTGGAAAGTCCAGGTGGGAGAAAGAACTCTTGTCTGTTGGAGGTAGGTGTTAATGTTTGTAGTGACCTCTGAGGATGCTTGCCATAGATGCAGGCGAAACGTCAGGAGAAAATGCCTCTAGAACATGGCCATATAGCCCGAAAAAGCCCACAAGAACCTAGTGATTCCAGCCATTAGAGCTAGGTGTTAATGTTTCAATTGTCCACCTTGATTAGCATTTGATGGCCTGACAGTTTTTAAGTGTGGCTTGTTACTGCCTGGGGAATCCTTTGTTGAGGGGTGATTAGCTGTTCCTGATTGTTTCTTGTTGAGATGTGCCTGGTTGTTTCCTCTCTGCTGTTTTGCTGTAGTAATTTTAGAGTTTTTTAATACTGGTAGCCAGATTCTGTTCATTTTCATGGTCTCCTCCTTTCTGTTGAAATTGTCCACATGCTTGTGGATTTCAATGGCTTCTCTGTGTAGTCTGACATGGTGGTTGTTGGTGTGGTCCAGCATTTCTGTGTTCTCAAATAATATGCTGTGTCCAGGCTGGTTCATCAGGTGCTCTGCTATGGCTGACTTCTCTGTTGAAGTTGTCTGCAGTGCCTTTCATGTTCCTTGATTCGTGTTTGGGTAAAGCTGCATTTGGTGGTCCTTATGTAGACTTGTCCACAGTTGCATGGTATATGGTAGACTCCTGCAGAGGTGATAGGATCCCTCTTGTCCTTTGCTGAATGTAGCATTTGTTGGATTTTCTTGGTGGGTCTGTAGATTGTTTGCAGGTTGTATTTCCTCATCAGGTTCCCTATTCAGTCAATGATTCTCTTGATGTTTGGTTCCTCTGGGTGGATCTTTTGTCTTTACTCTCGTGGCTTGATCTTGCAGCTCTTCTGATGTTTGTGGTGGAGTATCAATTGACTTGTAAACCGTCTACCATGCAGCTGTGGACACCTAAAAACTGTCAGGCCATGAAATGCTAATCAAGGTGGCCAGTTCAAACTTTCACACCTTCTGCCTACAGACAAGAGTTCTTTCTCCCACCCTGGACATTCCACAGATATGTAAACCCCACTTGCCTAGTTTCCAACAGACCTCACAACCTCTGAGAATGCCTACCATAGATGCAGGTGAAATGTCAGGAGAGAATGCTTCTAGAGCATCGCCATACAGCCCAAAAAACCTACAACAACCCAGTGATTCTGGCCATAGAAGCCTTGGACAATAAAATGTATATGTCTTCTTTGGGGAATTGAATTATTATGAGTTTGGAAAAAAAATCAATTTTTATGTTTAAGGGGGTACAATGATTTCAATTAAATAAACACTGTTACCTTAACAAAGGTAAAAGCCCTCCATTTTTCTTTCAGGTTCCATGACTTATCAATAAATCAAGATCTTTGTAAAGTTAATTTAGCTCGATTACCTTTATAAGAGTTAGATCAGGAAACATACCACATCAAATGAACTTCACTTTGCCAATCAAAGAGCTTAAACATAATAAAGCTCCAGGTTTGGGTGGCTTTAATGATAAATTCTGTATATGTTTCGGTTTCTTCAGCTAATGCTATATTTATTTCAGTTTTGGGAGGGGAGGAAATATTTGGGAAGGGAGCCAGAATATTCTCGTTATTGTTGAGTCTCCTCAAAACATTTCTGGATTAATGGAGACCCTAAAACAGTCATGGGCCCTCCAGATGTTTTGGACTTCAACTCCCATAATTCCTAACAACCTACCGGCTGGGTTGTAGGTTTTTTTGGGCTATATGGCCATGTTCTAGAGCAGTGGTTCTCAACCTTTGTAATGCCGTGACCCCTAAATACAGTTCCTCACATTGTGGTGACCCCCCCCCACCATAAAATTATTTCCATTGCTACTTCATAACTGTAATTTTGCTACTGTTATGAATCGTTATGTAAATATTTGATATGCAGGATGTATTTTCATCATTACAAATTGAACATAATTAAAGCATAGAGATTAATCACCAAAACATATTTGGAGGAGTATGGACAATGGATGATGGGCTTTGCAGTACCTTCAACAGATTCAGTTCTGACTTCCACAGACAACTGAGACTCCCAACGAATGAAAGACCTGGACAAAACTTGGCACACAGAACCCCCATAACCAACAAAAAAATACTGGAGGGGGTTGGCAGTGATTTAGGAGAGATATAGTTCACCTACATCTGGAGAGCAAATGTGAACCCAAACAACCATGGATCTGGACCAAACTTGGCACAAGCGCTCATTATGCCCAAATGTGAACACTGGTGGAGTTTGGGGAAAATAGACCTTGACATTTGGGAGTTGTAGAGTTACTATTTTTTTAATTATTATTAGACTCAGTTGGAAGGGACCCCAAAGGTCATCTAGTCCAGCCCCCTCTTTTATGCCAGGCAGGAAAATAAGAGTTAGTATTTTATTATTATACATTATTATTATTATTATTATTATTATTATTATTATTATTATTATTCTCAGTTGGAAGGGACCCCAAAGGTCATCTAGTCCAGCCCCCTTTTATGCCAGGCAGGAAAATAAGAGTTACTATTTTTTAATTATACATTACTATTATTATTATTATTATTATTATTATCATTATTATTATTATTATTTATTAGACTCAGTTGGAAGGGACCCCCAAAGGTCATCTAGTCCAGCCCCCTCCTTTATACCAGGCAGGAATATAGAATTAGTGTATTGTTATTATTATGTAGTATTATAAGACTCATACAATTGAAAGGAAACCCAAAGGTCATGTAGTCCAGCCTCTTCTTTCTGTCACACAGGAAGATAGAATTACTGCAGGAGCAATAATAATAATAATAATAATAATAGTCCATGGAAGGGCATTGGCCTTGAATTTTGGAGTTGTAGTTTGCCTACATCCAGAGAGCACTGTGAACTCAAACAATGATGGATCTTTATCAAATTTGGCATAAAAACCTGATATCCTGGAATTGGAATCCTGGTGCACTCGAGAGGCGCATGGAGGCAGAGGGATGAGATTGCTGCATCCATGGCCCCTTGGCCCTGCTGCTACAGTTCTCTGCCCCAGTGGCTGCGAAGGGCGAGGATGAGGGGTGGAGCTGGATCTGAATGGAGGGAGGGGCCAAGAGCAGAGGAAAATAAGGAATGAAGGAGGGAGGGGCGGCGGGAAGGAAGGGAAAGATGAAAGAAAAGAAGGGATTACAGCAGAAGGAAGGAAGGAAGGAAATGGAAAAGATTGGAAAAAAGAAGGAAAGAAATAAAGAGAAGGAAAAAAGAAAGAGCGAGGAAGGAAAGCACCTGGGGCTGCAGAGCTGGAAGGCAGCGGGAGGAGCATCTGTCTCTCTTCACTATGCTCCTAGTCTTCGGCTGCTCTCCTCTTGCTGCCCTTTGGCCCTGCTGCTGGCATGGCGGCTGCTGGTTTCCCATCTGGGGGCAACAGGAGCAGCAAGAGGAGAGTGGCCAAAGAGACGGGTGCGCCTCCCGCTGCCTGCCAGCCCTTTCCTTTTTTTCCCCTCCCCTTTCCTTCTCCTTTCCTCCCTTCTCTCTCTTTCTTTCCATCATTGTCTCTTTCTTTCTTTCCTTCTCTCCTTCTTTCTTTCCTTCCTTTTCCCTCCCTTTCCTTCCTTTCTTCTCCCTCGCCTGACTCACGTTGCCCGTCGGGTCTGTCAAGCGGCAAAAGCCAGGAGAGGAAAGCAGCACCGCGTGGCCTGGCCTGCCGGGAAGCCCCTCCCCTGGCTCGCGCCGCCCATCGGGCCTCGCAAGCAGCACGAGCCAGGCGAGGGGATACCCGCAAGGCTAGGCCATGCGGTGCTGCTTTCCTCTCCTGGCTTTTGCCGCTTGACAGACCCGGCAGGCGGCACAACCCAGGTGAGGGAGGCAGCACGGCCTGGCCTGGCGGGAAGCCCCTTGCCTGGTTCACGCCGCCCGTCGGTCCTGGCAAGTGGCGAAAGCTGGCGATAGCCAGGCGACTGAGGCAGCACTGCGCAGCCTGGTGGAGGGGGCGGGGCTAATGGACATGGGTCCGCGACCCCTCCGAAATGGCCCGGCGACCCCTCTAGGGGTCGCGACCCCCAGGTTGAGAAACGCTGTTCTAGAGGCATTCTCTCCTGACGTTTCGCCTGCATCTATGGCAAGCATCCTCAGAGGTAGTGAGGTCTGTTGGAACTAGGAAAAAGGGTTTATATATCTGTGGAATGAACAGGGTGGGACAAAGGACTCTTGTCTGCTGGAGCTAGGTGTGAATGTTTCAACTGACCACCTTGATTAGCATTTGATGGCCTGGCAGTGCCTGGGGCAATCTTTGGGTTGAGAGGGGATTAGATGTGCCTACTGGCTATTAGGAATTGTGGGAGTTGAAGTCCAAAACACCTGGAGGGCCCAAGTTTGCCCATTCTTGCCCTAAAGAGAACTTACCATGGGTTTTTTTCCAAGGCTGAAATAAAAAGTTGCAAGTACAAGTGGATGCTTCAAAAGTATGAGGATAAACCATACAGAGGAAGCACAGCATCCTGTACAGTTTGACAGCTATTCAAAACTCCCACTCCCTCCCCTGGTTGATCAGAAAAGGGGCTGGTCAGGATCTATGCCCTGATTGGCCAGAAGTCCCACTGACGTCGCTGCCTCTAGGTGGGGATTCCCTCTGATAGGGAAATAATTGCTAGGGATTGGCCATCCAAGGGAGGAGGCATCATCCATGAAGGCAATGCCAAAGAGATGATAATGAGCTTTTGGCTAGCTCAGCTGTCAAGTTCCATATTGACAAGAATAGGAGCTTCCGAGGATAAAGGTGCAAGGTTCCTGAGATAAAAGGTGATTATCTTGGGCAATCAAGGGCTGGGCTGCCAATGAAGGGGTTTAATAAATGTATCTACTCTGAACTTCTGTTTCCGTGGTCAATTTAACTAGATAAATAATTCTGGGGTTTCTAGGCTGACACGAGAAACTATCTCTGCATATATGAACAATGGATTTTGATGACTGCTTGGCTGGGAAACAGCCAGAGGGATTTCTCCAACCTTTCTGTTCTTCATAAAATATCTCAGCAGGATTAAGGAAAGGCGATGGTCTCTGGGCTTCATCTATTTACTTTTTATAAAGGAATGTATACATTTTCTATAAGAAATAGATACAGTACATGGAAAGTTACACAGAAAGTCAATGAAAGTAGATACAATTTATTGAAGGGTTAGAAATGATAACGCCTTTTTTAGTTTAAGCTGCCTCTAATACGCTCTCAGTCTTCGATGCTCCGGAATTGAAAACGTCAAAAAAGTATTTAAAAAATAATATAATGGCTTTGGAGTCTCTTCTAACCAAAGTCGACCCTCTCTAGAGGTTTTTAAACAATGGCAGGATGGCCATCTGTCAGGAGTGCTTTGATTGTGCCCTTCCTGCATATGGACTGGCATGGCTTTGGAGTCTCTTCTAAGCAGTCTACCTTCTCTGGAGGTTTTTAAACAATGGCAGGATGGCCATCTGTCAGGAGTGCTTTGATTGTGCCCTTCCTGCATATGGACTTGCATGGCTTTGGAGTCTCTTCTAAGCAGAGTCTACCTCCTCTATAGGTTTTTGAACAATAGCAGGATGGCCATCTGTCAGGAGTGCTTTGATTGTGTCCCTCCTGCATACAGACTGCATGGCTTTGGAGTCTCTTCTAAGCAGAGTCTACCTTCTCTGGAGGTTTTTAAACAATGGCAGGATGGCCATCTGTCAGGAGTGCTTTGATTGTGCCCTTCCTGCATATGGACTTGCATGGCTTTGGAGTCTCTTCTAAGCAGAGTCTACCTTCTCTGGAGGTTTTTAAACAATGGCAGGATGGCCATCTGTCGGGAGTGCTTTGATTGTGCCCTTCCTGCATATGGACTGCATGGCTTTGTAGTCTCTTCTAAGCAGAGTCTACCTTCTCTGGAGGTTTTTAAACAATGGCAGGATGGCCATCTGTCAGGATGGACTTGCATGGCTTTGGAGTCTCTTATAAGCAGAGTCTACCTTCTCTAGAGGTTTTTAAAGAATAGCAGGATGGCTATCTGTCGGGAGTGCTTTGACTGTGTCCCTCCTGCATGGCTTTGGAGTCTCTTCTAAGCAGAGTCTACCTTCTCTAGGAGTTTTTAAACAATAGTAGGATGGCCATCTGTCGGGAGTGCTTTGATTGTGCCCAGTCTATGAAAGTGTAGAAAAGGACTACGGTTCCCAAGAGCGACTAGGCTCCTCGCTTACAGGAGTCATAAAACGTCTCGGCGTTCTATTGGCTCAGCTGGGAGAAGCAGCTCGCTGATTGGCTAAGACGCATAATGGCTGGAAAGGAGGAGGGCGGAGTCTCAGGAGCAGAGAAGACCCAGGACTGGAGAGGCTTGAGTTGCAAAGGGCAAGAAGCTGAATCTCCTTCAATGCAGGTAGATGGGGGGAAAGGAAAGTGACAAGAAGGTATGGGGCTTGGGAGGAGAAGGGAATTGGGGGGTTGAAGGTGTTTTTGACATGTTGATCAGAACTTGGGCAAAGCCCAGGTGGCTCTTCCCTTTGTCTGCTGGAGGATCTGTTTCCCCCACTCAAGACATTCTCCTTAAAAATGCAAATGCAAAAGAAATAGGAAAAGGGGGGAAAGCACAAAAAGAAAGGGAAAAGAGCAGTTATGACCTCTTACAAATGGTGAAGAGGGAAATAAAAGTCAAGTTTGGGTAGAGGCACTCCATCAACCACCTTTGGAGGTTTTTGAAACAGAGGGTGGATGGCCATCTGTAGGGAGTGATTAGATGGTGTCTTCCTGAATGTTTAGAATGGGGTTGGACTGGTTGGCCCTTTAGGATCTATTGCAACTTTATGAGATTCTTGTGCTTAGACACACAGACACAATATAATAATATAGAGAAATAATAACATTGTAATGTAATGATACTAATATATAATATTATGTTGTAATATAATATATATCATATATACTACAACTTATGATATAGTAAAAGTAAAGGTAATGGTTTTCCCCTGACATTAAGTCCAGTCATGTCTGACTCTGGGGATTGGTGCTCATCTCCATTTCTAAGCCGAAGAACCGGCATTAATAATAATAAATTAATAATAATAATAATAATAATAATAATGGTAATAAACTTTTTTTGTACCTGCTAGCATCTCCTGAAGGACTCAATGCGGCTTACTAAGGCCAAGGCCTCAAAACACAACATAACAATACATAACCTAAAGCAAATTAAAAACAGTTAAAGCAATATTAAACAACAGCAATAAAACAATACACCAGGACACAATAAAACTGGGCCGGGCCAGAGTAATGGGTACAGATTAAAAGTGCTGAAGTGACAGGTGATATGTAAGGATTAGGGTAAATGCAGTGTGCCAGCAATCTTAATTCTAATAAAGTGCTTCTGGGACTTGTTATTGGAGTTTTCCTATTCTGGAAAGGCACATCGGAACAGCCAGGTCTTCAAGTTCTTTCTAAAGACTGCCAATGTAGGGGCCTGTCTAAGATCTTTTGGGAGGGTGTTCCAGAGTCGGGGGGCCACCACAGAAAAGGCCCTGTCTCGCGTGCCCACCAAACGCGCCTGCGACGCTGGTGGAATCACGAGCAGGGCCTCTCCGGATGAACGAAGTGAGCGCGTGGGTTCATAAACGGAGATGCGGTCACGCAGGTAGGCTGGTCCCAAACTGTTTAGGGCTTTGTAGGTAAGCACCTGCACCTTAAATTGGGCTCAGAAAATAAACGGCAGCTAGTGGAGCTCCTTGAACAGGAAGGGTTGACCTCTCTCTGTAAGGAGCACCAGTTAACATCCTGGCCGCTGCCCGTTGGACCAGTTGAAATTTCCGAGCCGTTTTCAAGGGCAGCCCCACGTAGAGCGCATTACAGTAGTCCAATCTAGAGGTGACCAAGGCATGGACCACCCTGGCCAGATCAGCCTTTGCAAGGTTGAATAATAATAATAATAATAATATCACACAGTCCTAGACGCTTGGGAAGTGTTCAACTTGTGATTTTGTGATGCGAAATCCAGCATATAGATCCTGTTTGCTGTGACATATTGTGCTTTTGTGTCAATAATAATAATAATAATAATAATAATCTTTATTTGTACCCCGCCACCATCTCCCCAGTAGGGACGCAGCTTATATGAGGCCAAACCCAACAACGCAATACAATAAATGAAATCAAAACACAAACAACAACATGATAAATTACATAAACCATTAGAAACAAAATAAAATTACAGTAAAATCAACAGTGAGCAGGCCCCATGTACAGAATAAAATAGTAAGGCTAAAAACATGACTAAAAAACATGGAGTGAGACAACGATGGAGCAGATTATTTGTGGGGAAAGAACTCTTCCGGAATGGGGTCGAAAAGGGCCTTTGTCCAGAAGGGGAGGGGGCATGCACTTCTTAAAACTTTCTAAAGTGGGGGCTCTCCTAATCTCACCAGGCAATGTATTCCATAGTCGGGGAGCCACTGAGGAAAAGGCTCTCTCCCTTGTTTCCACAAGGCAGGCCTGAGATAACGGTAGGGGTGAAAGAAGAGCCTCCCCCAAGGATCGGAGGGATTGGGCAGGTTCATTGAGGGAGAACCACAAGGAAACGTTCCCCCTAGGACAGTGTTTCTCAACCTGGGGGTCGGGACCCCTGTGGGGGTCGCAAGGGGGTGTCAGAGGGGTCGCCAAAGACCATCAGAAAACATAGTATTTTCTGTTGGTCATGGGGGTTCTGTGTGGAAAGTTTGGTCCAATTCTATCATTGGTGGGTCAGAATGCTATTTCATTGTGGGTGAACTATAAATCCCAACAACTACAACTCCCAAATGGCAAGGTCTATTTTCTCCAAACTCTACCAGTGTTCATATTTGGGCATATTGAATTTGTGCCAAGTTTGGTCCAGATCAATCATTGTTTGAGTCCACAGTGTTCTCTGGATGTAGGTGAACTACAACTCCAAAACTCAAGATCAATGCCCACCAAATCCTTCCAGTATTTTCTGTTGGTCATGGGAATTCTGTGTGCCAAGTTTGACTCAATTACATCACTGGTGGAGTTCAGAAGCCTCTTTTATTTTAGGTGGACTATAAAACCCAGCAACTCCAACACTCCCAAATGACAAAATCAATCCCCCCAACCCCACCAGTAATCAAATTTGGGTGTATTGGGCATTTGTGCATCCTGCATATCAGATATTTACATGACGATTCATAATCGTAGCAAAATTACAGTTATGAAGTAGTAACGAAAATAATGTTATGGTTGGGGGTCAACACAACATGAGGAACTGTACTAAGGGGTCGTGGCATTAGTAAGGTTGAGAACCACTGGTTTAGAGCTTTATAGGTGATGACCTGTACCTTGAATTGGGACCGGAAAATAAACGGCAGCCAATGGAGCTCCTTAAACAGGGGTGTTGACCGCTCCCTGTAATTCGCTCCTGCTATTAATCTGGCTGCCGAACGTTGGACAAGTTGTAGTTTCTGGGCCGTCCTCAAGGGTAGCCCCACGTAGAGCGCATTGCAGGAATCAAATCTAGAGGTAACTAAGGCATGGACCACCGTGTTCAAGTCTGACTTCACGAGGTATGGTCGCAGTTTGCGCACAAGTTTTAATTGTGCGAAGGCCCTCCTGGCGACCACCGACATAATTGAAGGGTTGCCTGTAGACACCTCCAACTTCATGTGGCCGGTATGAATAATATATTGTACTATGATATAGTACAATATATTATTTAATACTATAGTGGACACGGACAGGGAGCTCTGGCGTGGGCTGGTCCATGAGGTCACGAAGAGTCGGAAATGACTGAATGAATGAACAACAACATATAGTGCTATAATAATATAGTACAATCTATATATAAAAAAATGCTCGGTGCATAATGAGTACCTTAAAAACAAAAGAACCAATGAATGAAATCACACCAAATTTGGCAACAAAATGTCTCACAACACAAGGAGTGACCATCACTCAAAAATTATGATTTTGTCATTTGGGAGTTGTAGTTGCTGGGATTTATAGTTCACCTATAATCAAAGAGCATTCTGAACTCCACCAATGATGGAATTGAACCAAACTTGGCACACAGGAGTCCCCTGACCAACAGAAAACACTAGAAGGGTTTGGTGGGCATTGACCTTGAGTTTGGGAGTTGTAGTTCATCTACATCCAGAGAGCACTGTGGACTCAAACAATGATGGTTCTGGATCAAACTTGGAACGAATACTCAATATGCCCAAATGTGAACACTGATGGAATTTGGGGGAAATAGATCTTGACATTTTGGAGTTGTAGTTGCTGGGATTTATAGTACACCTACAATAACCCCACCAATAACAGAATTGGGGCAAACTTCCCATACAGAACCCCCATGACCAACAGAAAATACTTAAGGCCATCCAGTCCAACTCCCTTCACCAGGGCAAGAAAATGTAATCAAAATCCTCCTGACAAAGAGCCATCCAGCCATAGATATAGATAGATAGATATGATTCACACACAGAGAGATATAGTATCATAGATTTGAAAGGGACCCTTAAAGAAGGGACTGATATGTTGCATGTTCCAGAGTAGGCAAACCAGACAATCTCTACATCAATACTGACAAAGAAACAACAAGAAATACTTTTATCCCACAAGCATTACATATATTGGAAACCAACACTTTCTCATTACTTTATTTTCCAGCTCATGAGACTGGGCCACAGCAACGCATGGCAGGGATAGCTAGTATAATATACTAATTGTATATTATATAAATGTAATATTACTAATAATATTTACAGTATAGTGGTATAGTACAATAGTAACATACAATACTAATATGGTGCTATGCTAATAACATAATACATTGTACATACATATAATATTGGTAATAATATAATGTAGTACCATATAATACTAATAATAATACAATATAATAATATACATTAATATTGTAATATAGTAATACAAATATATTAAGGAAAAAGGAAGAGGGGCCGACCAAAGGCAAGATGGATGGATGGCATCCTTGAAGTGACTGGACTGACCTTGAGGGAGCTGGGGGTGGTAACGGCCGACAGGGAGCTCTGGCGTGGGCTGGTCCATGAGGTCACGAAGAGTCGGAGACGACTGAACGAATGAACAAAGTAATACTAATATATTAAATATAATAACTACTGATAATTTATAGTAATATGTAATGATACACCGTTTTATTATTGTATATTTTATTATTGTATATTTTAAGTTGTAATGTTTTTGATTGTGAGCTGCTTTGAGTCTCTGGGGGTTGGTGCTCATCTCCATTTCTAAGCTAAAGAGCCAGCATTACCCATAGACAGCTCCAAGGTCATGTGGCCAGCATGACTGTATGGAGTGCCATTACCTTCCTAACAGAGCAGTACCTGTTGATCTATTCACATTCACATGTTTTCAAACTGCTAGGTTGGCAGAAGCTGGGGCTAACAGCGGGAGCTCATGCCACTCCCCAGTTTTGAACCTGCGACTTTTTGGTCAACAAGCTCAGCAGCTCTGTGGTTTAACCCACTGTGCCACGGGGGGTTCTCTATATATAAAGTATCCATGTACTCTGGGTGTATCTCTGCATTGTAGAATGAATGCAGATTAAACCCATTTTAATTGCCATTTGTCAGTACTATGGAATTATTGGAGCTGTAGTTTTACAAGGTCTTTAGCCTTCTTTGTCACAGAATGTTGATGCCTCACCAAAGTACCACATCCCAGAATTCCATAGCATTGAACCACGGCTGTTAAAGCGGTGTCAGACTGCCCTCATTCAACAGTGTAGATGCATCCATGCTACATATAAAACAACAAACAAAAGCAGCCATTAAAATTGATTGACTCTCCCTGCAGTGTATATTTTTTATCCATGGATCCAGTGCTTTGCTGCAGCATCTGGATCTGAGAACCCAGAGTCCTTGGCTGCCTAACTGTAGTATTAAGTGAGAGAGAAAATGAAATTGACTGATGGACATATTTTGCCTTGGCGCTGCAGCGCTATAAAATCCCGGCTTGGAAGCATACATCCTCATGATTTTTACATGTAAGTTTCGCCACACTGGCTTCTCCTTCTAATTCAAATGGGGCTTGTGGCACCTTAAAGATGAAGGTGTAACCATCAGTTTCTGTGGATTAGAGCTCCCTTCCATTGGTCAATGCCTTCGTCCCTTTGCCTGCTGCTGCTGATGACAACATCGTAATAATAATAAAAAATCTCTGCAATATCATAAAACCCACCACTGCAGTGGTGCAAAGAAACAAATATGGAAACCATGAATCCTTAGGATTTATTTCCAGGCAGAAAATACTTCAATCTTCTCTCTAATAAGATCATAAAAGAACATGTGCCCCCATTATGTTGCATGCATCCCTTTGTTGCTCCTGTGTGTCTGCTCTCAAAGATATTCAGATATTTACCTGTTTTGATTGTAAGATCCTCTTGGATGGTGCCTAAGATTTGTGTCTACAAAGTGTCATAATGTGGGTGCATCTGCACTATAGAATTAATGCAGTTTGATACCACTTTAATTGCCATGGCTCAGTGCTATAGATTAGAATGATGGGGTCTGTAATTTGAAAAGATACTAGCACTCTATGGTAGAGAAAGCTAAAGACCTTGTAAAACTGCAAATCTCAGGATTCTGTAGCATTGAGCCATGGCAGCCAAGTAAGTGCTGTCAAACTGCATTAATCCTACAGTGTAGATGCACTTCCAGTTGGGACTGAAATAGTCTTCCAGGACAAACATAATTCTTGAGAGAACCTCCACAGATGTTCTATCCACAGATGTTATGAGAGCTGTTCAGCAATGGAACTCTCTGCCTTGGAGTGTGGTGGAAGCTCCTTCTTTAGAAGCTTTTAAACAGAGGCTGGATGGCCATCTGTCAGGGGTGCTTTGAATACAATGGTCCTGCTTCTTGGCAAGGGGTTGGACTAGATGGCCCATGAGGTCTCTTCCAACTCTATGATTCTATGAAATGATTTGAATGTATACAACAACAGTGGCGTTTGGACATGGTTTTTCTTCTTCTTGTCTCAGATCCTAGTGACCTTTGAAGATGTGGCTGTGTATTTCACAAAGGAGGAATGGGCTTTGCTGGATCCTAACCAACGAGCTTTGTACAAGGAGGTCGTGATTGAGAATTACGGGAATCTCACTTTGCTGGGTAAGAAAACGCCTCTTTTAATTTCATAGATGGTGTGACTTCTCTGCCTACTGGATGTCATGAGAGCTTTATTCCAAAACATGGCATATGCATCCTTCAAATAAATCCTGTCCTATAGTTACTTACTTAAGTGATCCCTCGTAGATCTTCCTGATGTAGTGTCTTTGTGGTGGGTCTGTTGGTGGCTGTGGAGCCCTATTCTTGATCCACATGTTCTCCCGCAGTGAGGGAATTGGTTTCCAGATGGAAGGCGGTCCTGGTCAGGGTTGGCTTGATGTGCCTTCCTCTTGGCACATTTCTCCCTTTCCCTCCATTCATGCCTCTTCAAATTCTGCAGCACTGCTGGTCACAGCTGACCTCCAGTTAGAAGCTCAAGGGCCAGGGCTTCCCAGTTCTCTGTGTCTATGCCACAGTTTTTAGTTGACTTTGAGCCCATCTTTAATCTTTTTCCTGCCCACCAACATTCCTTTTTCTTTTCTTGAGTTCGGACTAGAGCAACTGTTTTCAGAGATGGTAGTCTGGCATTCAGACAATGTGGCCAGTCTAGCGGAGTTGATGGTGGAGGAGCATCGCTTCAATGCTGGTGGTCTTTGCTTCTTCCAGCATGCTGACATTTGCCTGCTTGTCTTCCCAAGAGATTTGCAGGATTTTTCAGAAGCAGCGCTGATGGAATCGTTCCAGGAGTTGCATGTGACGTCTGTAGACAGTCCGTTTCGCAGGCATATAGCAGGGTTGGGAGGACAATAGCTTTATAAACAAGCACCTTGGTATCCCTACAGATGTCCTGGTCCTCAAACACTCTCTGCTTCATTCGGAAAAATGCTGCACTCGCAGAGCTCAGGCGGTGTTATATCTCAGTGTCAATGTTGACTTTGGTGGAGAGGTGGCTGCCAACAAACTTTGGTTTTCTTGGTATTCAATGAGAGGCCGAGCTTCTCGTATGCTTCTGCAAAGGTATTTAGAGTGATTTGTAGGTCTTCTTCTGAGTGTGCACAGACTACATTGCCATCAGCATATTGGAGTTCTATAACAGATGTTGTTGTAACCTTGGTTGTTGTTTTATAGGATATCAAGGTATCCTGTACTATCCAACTTGTCATTGATCCACTCTTTGGGCTTCACACAAACTACCATTTGCCAAAATATATGATCTTGTGCTTTCCTTTTCTATCTTTGGCCAGAGTCAACTAAATTAGCAACTTCAAAATATTATGTTTTGTCTTCATCCCTCCCTTCTTTTAAATAGGAAATGGGGTTTTGTTTTCTTTCAGTCTTCCCTAACCCAAACTGCTTAGGACTAAGATAGCCATCATTCCTAGGTGTCATAGTTTTCAGCATACTGGGATTTGTAATCTTGTGCATCTAAAAGGCTTTATTTATCCACTAAATCTGGGATGGGGAATCTTGAATTTCAGTTCTCAGAAGCTTCAGCCAGTATGGCAAATGCAAGGGGATTGTGGGAGCTGTAGTCTGATATATTTGAAAGTGCAAAGGCTCCCTATCCGCTTTTTGTTTGAAAAACCTCGTTTTGGAATCCAGGGAGCTGTTGTTTTACAAGATGTTTAGCCTTTGCTCCCAAAGACAGCTGGTACCTCACCAAACTACATCTGCCGGGAAGTAGCAACCAATAGTGGAAGGACCAAGGCAGTGACATCTCCGGCCCATCCCCTGTTTTTATATCAGCCAGCATGCAAATGGCTTAAATCAAGAAATAGCTTTCTAAAATCTACAGAGACACTCGTTGGAACACCTCAGCAAGCGAGAGTCCAAAAGTTGCAGGCTCAAACCCAGAACCTCAATCAATGGCTGATACCAAATGAGAGACTCCCCCCTGGGCACACAGAAAACCGGGCGACTTGGAAGGCGCTGAACAGACTGCACTCTGGCACCACGAGATAAAGAGCTAACCTTAAGAATTGGGGCTACAAAGTGGAATCCACGGCATGTGAGTTTGGAGAAGAGCAAATCACTGACCACCTACTACAATGCAACCTGAGCCCTGCCACATGCACTGCCACATACAGTGGCCAGCTACTTGCCAACTTTGCAAACTTTGTGGGTTTTTTTAAAATGCAATACAACTATTTGGTTCACTCCTGGCCTGATAAATAAACCAAACTACAAATCTTAGTATTTCATAGCATTGAACCACAGTAGTTAAACTGGATTAATTCTACAATATAGATCAGGCATGGGCAAACTTAACTTCCACAATTCCTAACAGGTTACTGGTTGTTAGGTATTGTGTAAGTTGAAGTCCAAAACACCTGGAGGGCCCACGTTTGTGCATAGCTGGTGTAGATACATTCTTGGTTGCTCTGGGGAAGATGGTGTTACTGGAAACGTTGTGCGCTTGGTTTGATCCAACAGAAACCTTCTTGCATCCTTTTGAAATTCCATTGATACCTATTCTTTCCTTTTTCTGGAGAAGGAATTCCAGCTCCAAAGCCTGGGCTTGTCTTACGTCTGGAACAAGGGGAGGACCCTTGTGTGCCAGAGGCTCATGCCTTTGATGGAAGGAAAATCTTTGACACCAGCAAAGGTAAGGCTTTGTGGCTTTCCAATTTATTTGCAGTTGTTTTGGTTTAAGAATAATAATACTAATAATAATAATAATAATAATAATAACTTTATTTTTATACCCCGCCAACCATCTCCCCACGGGGACTCAGTGTGGCTTACAAAGTACAAGCCCAACAATTACAAATAAAACACAATCAATTAAAAACATCAGATGAAATATAAAAACAATCACAATAGTAAACAACTTCAAAATAATATGGCTGAGTGCAAAAATCAAGTAGGCAGGGCTGGGAATAGTCATCCCATATTTTAATGCTGTTGATATGAATTGTAAGAGCATCGGTTTTGTTTTACTGATCATTTCCCTCTCTGCTTGTCCATTGCAGATAACCCTCGGAAAAAGCACTTATGTACTGTGTGTGGCAAACGTTTTACTCAGAAACCAAACCTAACCAGACACATCAGAATCCACACGGGAGAGAAGCCATACAAATGCCTGGAGTGTGGCAAATGCTTTGGTTGCCATTCGCACCTCATGAGCCACCAGATCGTCCACACTGGTGAAAAACCCTACAAATGCTTGGTGTGCGATAAATACTTTGGCCGCAAAGCTCACCTTGCCAGACACCAAGGAATCTATGCAGGGGAGACACCCTATAAATGCTTGGACTGTGGGAAACATTTTGCTTGCCAGTCACAGCTTGTGATTCACCGCAGGTATCACACAGGGGAGAAGCCATATAAATGCTTGGAGTGTGGGAAATGTTTTGCCGACCCATCTGCCCTGGTGAGCCATAAGAGAATCCATGCGGTGGAGAGGTCTCATAAGTGTCTGGAGTGTGGCAAGAGTTTTGTCCAACAGTCCCACCTTTTGAAACATCGGCGAGTCCACACTGGGGAGAAACCGTACCAGTGTCCAGAGTGTGGAAAATGTTTTGCTGATCGCTCCGTCTTTGCCAAACACCAGAGGGTCCATACTGGAGAGCGACCTTATAAGTGTGCAGAGTGCGGAAAGACATTTGCCCGCCAAGAACACCTTGGGAGCCACCAGAGAGTTCACACTGGGGAGAAACCCTATAAATGCTTGGTGTGCGGGAAAACCTTTGCCCGCCAGTCCCACGTCGTGAGCCACCAGAGAGTCCACACTGGGGAGAAACCGTGCAAGTGCCTGGAGTGTGGCAAATGTTTTTCTGAACGCTCAACATTTGTGCGGCACCAGAGGACACACACGGGAGAGAAGCCCTATCGTTGCTTGGATTGTGGGAAATGTTTTGGCTCCCCGTCCCACCTCACAAGGCACCACAGGCGGCACACAGGTGAGAAGCCCCACCGGTGCTTGGAGTGTGGAAAAGCCTTTGCTGATCGCTCAGCTTTCGTGAAGCACCAGCGGGTCCACACAGGCGAGAAGCCCTACAAGTGCACTGAGTGTGGGAGATGCTTCGCCAACCGGACACATCTTGTTACCCACCAGCGGGTCCACACAGGAGAAAAACCCTATGCCTGTCTAGAATGTGGGAAAAAATTCAGCGCAAATAGAAGTCTCATTCACCATCAGAGGCAACACATAGGTGAGCAAACTTTGGCCCTCCAGGTGTTTTGGACTTCACTTCCCACAATTCCTAACAGCTGGTTAGCTGTTAAGCCAAGGGTGAGATATGCAACAGTTACTGGTAAATTTCAAAATAAAAATAGATACCAATATAATTACATCAATTGAGGCATCAGTAGGTTAAATGTTTTTGAATATTTGCATAAAACTGTAATTTAAGATAAGATAATAATATAATAATAACAGTAATAAATAGAGTAAAATAATAAATGTAATAATTACAATAATAAATAAAGAAAAGTAATAAATTTTATAATAATAGAGAAAAATAATAAATCTAATACAAATAGAGAAAAATAATAAATGTAATAATAATAATAATAAATAATTAATAATAATAATAGTAAAATAATGTTGGAGATCTTGGAGTCCTCGTGGACAACAAGTTAAACATGAGCCAACAATGTGATGTGGCGGCAAAAAAAGCCAATGGGATTTTGGCCTGCATCAATAGGAGCATAGTGTCTAGATCTAGGGAAGTAATGCTACCTCTATTCTGCTCTGGTTAGACCACACCTGGAATATTGTGTCCAATTCTGGGCACCACAATTCAAGAGAGATATTGACAAGCTGGAATGTGTCCAGAGGAGGCGACTAAAATGATCAAGGGTCTGGAGAACAAGCCCTATGAGGAGCGGCTTAAGGAGCTGGGCATGTTTAGCCTGAAGAAGGGAGGCTGAGAGGAGATATGATAGCCATGTATAAATATGTGAGAGGGAGCCACAGGGAGGAGGGAGCAAGCTTGTTTTCTGCTTCTGTGGAGACTAGGACACGAAACAATGGCTTCAAACTACAAGAAAGGAGATTCCATCTGAACATGAGGGAAAACTTCCTGACTGTGAGAGCCGTTCAGCAGTGGAACTCTCTGCCCCGGAGTGTGGTGGAGGCTCCTTCTTTGGAAGCTTTTAAACAGAGGCTGGATGGCCATCTGTCGGGGTGATTTGAATGCAATATTCCTGCTTCTGGCAGGGGGTTGGACTGGATGGCCCATGAGGTCTCTTCCAACTCTTTGATTCTATGATTCTATGAATGTAAATGTAATAATAGTAAATAGAGTAAAATAATAAATGTAATAGTAATAATAATAATAATAACTCAGTAAAATAATAAATACATTTTTTGAGGACAGAATTACAGATTTTGATGTGATCTGTTTATCAGTCGAAGGTGCAGAGGAAGGGGAGTTCTAGTACTGCCTTTGGGAGCTGGCCACCTCTGGCTGCCATCACTATTTTCCCACGCAGGGATTCAAAAAGGCCAAAAGCAGTAGAGAGGTCAGCACTTCTTTTAAGTTCTCACCTAATCTCTCACCTTTCACAATGATCCGTTTTTGATAAGATTCAAGATACAGCACTTACACTGACCCATGGATACATCAACTTAAGTTTGTGGGTCGATGTTGTTTAGTAACATTTCTAAACATTTTTTTTTCATGTCAGGAGCGACTTGAGAAACTACAAGTGTGGTGCTGGTGTGATAGAATTAGCTGTCTGCAAGGATGTTGCCCAGGGGATGCCTGGATGTTTTACCAGGCTTCTCTCATGTCCCCCCATGGGAAGCTGGAACTGACAGACAGGAGCTCACCCCACTCACTGGATTTGAACTGCTGACCTTTTGGTCAGCAGTCCTGCCAGCACAAGGGTTTAACCCATTGCACACCGAGGGCTCCTAAACTTAATGCATGAGTATATACAGTAATGCCATTTCTGAATCTTGTTTCTTCCTCCAGGCTATCCTCTGTCTCAATGTGTGAAGAACATTTTGTTGACCAGTCAATCTTTGTGTGACACTGGGGAAGCTGCTAAGGAAAAGAAACTGTATGAATGGCTCTCAGCTGGCAAATGGCTTTCTCTTCAAGGCTCCCTGGCTCACAAGGAAGGAGTCCACACAGAAGGGAAGACTTTGGGCACATCCTGAAAACAGTGGTGCATCGATTGAAGAAACCATGCTGGTGCATTTAAAGTCCATTGGTCTTAAGGACACTAAGACAGACACGGGCTTCTTTGAGCAAATTTTGTAAATTGTTGCAGTTTCAGATGTCATTACTTGGATACTGACTTTGATATTCAAAGCATGATTGCTTTAGATGTTGTTATAAGCTAATAGTACATTTGTGGGTCTGACTTTTGCAAATTTGATTATTCACAAATTTGATTAAAATGACATTTCTAGGAATCCCTAGGTCTTCCAGTGCAATTCTATGATCAGCTTCCAGAAAGATTTTCTCTCAGAAAGAAGAAAAAAATATTATTTTATTCATGGTTTTTCACTTTCACAGGGGTCCTGTCCTCTAACCTCAGTGAATATGGAGGACTGACTAGTAGGTGCTATTGCATGACTATTCCCAAATAATGCATTTCACTCCTTTTCGTCTGTTGAACTGTAAAGAGTGTTACATGTCAGCAATAAAGTGCTAGTGTTTTGCATGCATGGTTATTTACATATGCTCAAAATCTCCATACCTCTGCACAGTAGTTGTCAGATTTAGTCTAATCATAATACCTTTGCATGTTATCTAGGAAATATATTTCAAATGCTGTTATTGTTGCATGGCAGCTATCAATTAGTAGTGCTTATGAAATATTTGCAGGTAATTATTGGGCGATATCATGTGGTGCCTACAAATTTACTAGCACACAAAGCCCCGGGTTAAAATGCTGAGCTGCAGAACTTGCTGACCAGAAGGTCAGCAGTTTGAATCCAGGAAACGGGGTGAGCTCCTGCTGTTAGCCCCAGCTTCTGCTGACCTAGCAGTTCGAAAACATGCAAATGTGAGTAGATCAATAGGTACCGCTCTAGCAGGAAGGTAACGGCGCTCCCTGCAGTCATGCCAGCCACATTACCTTGGAGGTATCTACGGATAGCGCCAGCTTTTCGGCTTAGAAATGGAGATGAGCACGACTCTCCAGAGTCGGACACGACTAGATTTAATGTCAAGGGGAAATGTCAGGAGAGAATGCTTCTAGAACATGGCCATATAGCCTGAAAAACCTATAACAACCCAGTGATTCCAGCCGTGAAAGCCTTTGACAACACAATATATTATTTATTTCGTATTTCACATAGACTCAAGACATTTCTTGTTAGATTCATGCAACACATCTGCACATGGCAGCCAACACATGAATGTGGCATGATCCAGAGTTTGGAAAGCTCGGCTGTAGAGCAATCTCCACCTTATGGTTGGACATCTCAGTTTTAGAAGGTTGGACTGGATGGCTGTTGACTGGATTGCTGCCTTTTCCAATTCTGTGATTCTAAGATTGGGAAATCTTGAGTTTAAATCCCCATTTGGCTAAGAAAGGAGCCAACTTTGGGCCAGTCACATATCCTTTGCCTGATCTACTTCTAAGCCATGTGTTTTTTCTGAGCTCTGGAGGAGAAAAGTAACACTCAAATAGACCAAAAAAACCCACAAAATATTTGTACAGTAGAGTCTTGCTTATCCAACCTTTGCTCATCCAATGTTCTGTATTATCCAACGCAGTCTGCCTCCTGCCTGGATCCACAGCTCTTTCAATACATTTTGATGTTTTGGTCCTAAATTTGTAAATACATAACGTTACCGTGTATTGAACTGCTTTTTCTGTTGATTTCCTGTAAAACATGATGTTTAATTTAATTTAATTTAATTTAATTTAATTACTGCATTTATATGCCGCCCTTCTCACCCCGAAGGGGACTCAGAGTGGCTTACAAGTTATATGAAAATACAATATATTATATTATAAGCATAATACAACATTAGTACCATACATTCCCATAGCGTACTATACCACTATACCGAAATATTATTAGTAATATTACATGTAATATAAAATATATAATTATTATATTGTATTACATTATAACATTATCAATATTATATATGTATACAATATATTATTAGCACAATACAATATTAGTATAATATATTACTATATTGTACTATACCACTATACTGTAATATTATTGGTTATTATGTTTGGTGCTTAATTTGTAAAATCATAACGTAATTTGGCACCTAATAGGCTTTTCCTTAATCCGTCCTTATCTTCCAACATTTTCGTTTATCCAATGTTCTGCTGGCCCGTTTATGTTGGATAAGAAGACTCTACTATACTTGTGTGTGGTGGAGGAGGAGCTGAACTGGTTTGTGAAAGAGCCTGATGGTAGGAGGTGCCATGAAAAATTAGAAAGGAAGAAAAGGGAATACATCAACTCAGCCCAGCTTGGGTGCTGTTAGCCAATAATTCCTACCATCCCCAGCCAACATGTTGCCTGAGGATATAGACCGAGTTGCAGCTCAATCTCACCTGGAGCATCCCAGGTTGGGGAAGGCTTGAATGCCTTCTTTCTGGGGATACGGAGTTGCATATTTCCACAATTGAGAGACCTGACTCCAACGGGTGCCGCACAATGTCATGCTAGTAGGTGGTATCTCAATCTTTAGATATGAAAGTTTAGAGCAGTGGTTCCCAACTTGTGGGTCTCCAGATGTTTTGGCTTTCAACTCCCAGAAATCCTAACAACTGGTAAACTGGCTGGGAGTTCTGGGAGTTGTAGGCCAAAACACCTGGGGACCTACAGGTGGAGAACCACTGATCTAGAGCATGGAAATCAAGTTTCAAGGGGTGATTATGTACCATTTACTTTATACCTTGCTCACCTTGTCTTCATTGTGGGTAATAAATGCATTCTTTACTTAATTGTAATTGAGCTGTCAGTTTATTTTTTTAAAGTCTGTGTCTGGGGTGAAGAAAGCCACGAGCCACGTTAATCCCATCGTCTCTTTTTGAAGCCACAATCTATCTATCTATCTATCTATCTATCTATCTATCTATCTATCTATCTATCTATCTATCTATCTATCTATCTATCTATCTATCTATCTATCCATCCATCCATCCATCCATCCATCCACCCACCCACCCACCCACCCACCCATCCACCCACCCACCCATCCATCCATCCATCCATCCATCCATCCACATAATAAAAGTGAAAATGTGTATGTGGCAGAGGTGTCCACTTACACAGACAGCCTCCCACCTCCACAAACAACTATAACCCACAGTGCTGGGGAGCCACCAAAAGCACTCCCTCCAAGGACATTTCAGGTTATAGTGGGCATCATGAACATGTAGCCCAACCCCTGCCAGTGTCCTCCCCAAACACCATACTTTCCTGCCACCCAGATGAAGGCTTTCATGCAGGGACCATTTGATCCTAGATCAGTGGTTCTCAACCTTCCTAATGCCGCGATCCCTTAATACAGTTCTTCATGTTGCTGTGACCACCAACCATAAAATTACTTTCGTTGCTACTTCATAACTGTGACGGCGCGAGTGGCGCCGCCTGTGTGTAGAACTTTAAAGTGCAAAGGTTTGAACTGTATAACATGTCCATACTTGCCTAGTTTGTAAATGTATATTGGATTTATTGGTTATTTATAGCTGTCAATCAATGTTGTTTGCACCAGTTATATTGCTTCCTCAGCTCAATTGCTTGGCTCCACCTCTTCCTAGAGGAGGGCAGAGCTTTTCCTTTTCCATTCTACCATCAAACCTTCTATCAGATATATGTGAGAAAGAGACTTGGCTCTAAAGCCCTTAATTAAGTTACCTCTCATCACCAATTCTAAGGTTTTTACCCTTGAGACTCATGCTTCATGTCCAGATCGCCTTGGACAACGTTGAGGAGACACAAGCGCCTTCAAACCGGTTCTTTGGCATCAAAAGGAAGACTCTGTGCCTTCAACATAGGCCATTGGACTGTGGGTTGTGTTTGTTCCGACCTTCACAGCCATTGAGAAAGAGGGAACAGGAAAAGCTTCTCAGCTGCAAAATCTCCTTGGACCCAAGACAACCAGAGACTGTAATGTATATTTTCCTTTACCCCTTTGAAACTTCCAGCTTATTGCCTTAAGGGATAACTCTTTGTGAACAATAAAACCTATTTTGAGTTATCTACAGTGTTTTGGTCCTTGGGAGTTCCAGTTCTTTAAAGGAAGGCAAGAAGCAATCCCCTGGGGGAAAGATGTCACTTCTATGTCCCCCAGGCACGACGGCACAATAACTGTAATTTTGCTACTGTTATGAATTGTAATGTAAATATCTGATATGCAGGATGTATTTTCATTCACTGGACCAAATTTGGCACAAATACCCGATACTGCTGAAATCTGAATACTGTTGAGGTTGGAAGGAGGGATTGATTTTGTCATTTGGGAGTTGTAGTTGATGAATTGATAGTTAATTTACAATCAAAGAGCATTCTGAACTCCACCGATGGAAAAGAACCAAACTTGGCACACAGAACTCCCATTACCAACAGAAAATACTGGAAGGGTTTGGTGGGCATTGACCTTGAGTTTTGGAATTGTAGTTCACCTAAATCCAGAGAGCACTGTGGACTCAAACAATGGTGGATCTGGACCAAACTTGGCATGAATAGTCAATATACCCAATTGTAATTGCTGGAATTTATAGTTCACCTACAAAGAGCATTCTGAGCCCCACCAATGATAGAATTTGGCCAAAATTCCCACACAGAACCCTTATGACCAACAGAACATACTGTGTTTTCTGATTGTCTTTGGTGACCCCTCTAATACCCCCTCTTGACCCCCTCAGGGGTTCCGACCCCCAGGTTGAGAAACACTGGCAGGGGGTTGGACTGGATGGCCCACAAGGTCTCTTCCAACTCTATGATTCTATGTTCTGTTTTCCCTCCAGAATGGACATCCTAGTGTTCCTCTCCATGGGTGTGGAATTTGTATGACCACACCTACTGCCTTCCCCTTAACCCTTTTCTATGGCACACAGCAAACTCAACCTACTGGAAGGGTTTGAGGAGACTGACTCATCATAGTGGGAGCTGTAGTTTACCCTACAGTCAGAGAGCACACTGAACCCCACCGATGAGGCAGCTAGAGCAAACTTGCCCAATATAACAAACTTAAAGTGCTGATGGAGTTTTTCGGGGTTACCCTGCCATGATGTGAATTGTAGTTCACCCACAACCTTAGGCATTTTGCACCATTAAAATTTTGACTTTTTCAAATAATCTGGGCAACATCGGGTACCCAGGCTAGTGTAAAATAAAAGGGGTGAAAAATACCTCTATGATATAATCACCAAAACATGGGTTCCTAAGATCAGCAGAAATGTATGTTTTCTGATGGTCTTTGGTGACCCCCCTGAAACCCCCTCATGACCCCCCCCCCAGGGGCCCCAACCTCCAGCCAGAGAAATGCTGGAATACACAGTCCATTAGCCTAACATCTTTTTTTTTTTTTTTTACTCCAGTGCACTTGCCAAGAATACATTTTCCATAATAGTTTTCACCGCCAAAAGTCTCTAACAGAGGGCTCAGGGTATCTTAGAGCTGGTATTTTTCATTATCTGTGTAGAAAGTGATTGTATGTTGCTCATGATTGTCCTGCTTGCTATGAATTTCAAAGGTGTTCACTGGTCAAACCTCAGAGCACCCACAATTTCTTTACAATGATTATTATTTTTTTATCACGTCACAGGTGACTTGAGACAAGTCACTTCTGGTGTGAGAGAATTGGCCGTCTGTAGAGACGTTGCCCAGGGGATGCCCGGATGTGTTATCATCCTATGGGAGGCTTCTCTCACGTCCCTTCATGGGAAGCTGGGACTGAGAGACAGATGATGATTATGATTATGGCTGCTCTCTGTTGTGTATTGCGCAGCTGCACAGATGAAGCAAATATGTTTTCAAGATTAATCAGTGTTGTTTTGTGCCCTTTATGGGGTCGGATCTGTCAGGAGTGAACTTTGCAAAGTACCATCTCTATAATATTTTGTCATTACAATGGATATGATAGAATTACCATAGTGTTGAATGAAAAGTAATGCCTCCACCCTGGTTACTTGGGTTTGGATGGGAATATTTTAATAAATCTGTTGAGATTAATTTCACAATTCAGCAGCAGATCAGTTGCACAACTTCAGTGCTTTCCAGTAGCTTCTTCCTGCACAGTATTTTCAGTCAACTGCTCCCACAAACTGCAGTCACTCTGGAACTCTTTACAGACACTTGAGCACATGCCCGGCCATTGTCAGTTTTACTATTGTTTTCCCCTCCAATCTAGATGACACTACAAACTTACCACAGCACACGGTTATATCTTGTCTTAGCAGACAGGTTCTTTTAATCAATTACATAGAGCCTTCGACGAACAGCATCACAGCACAAGGAGAGAGAAATACACTGTACATGACTTCCTTATATACAATTCTATACAATTACACATAGCAATCTCTGATTGGTTCCCAACTCATTGACTTAACTCAAACCCAGGATTGCATCATTCACAATCACCTGGACTAGGCCAGAACACATTCCCCAAATGATTCCCTATATACAGTTAATGCATGACTCAGCATTTCCAATAGAAGCCCATTAGCAGTGCATGACTCAGCTATATTACATTACAATACATTGTAAAACCTGACATGCAGAAATGCAGAAATAATCCTTAGAATGTGCTCTTTAACTACCACTATTCACTTTTCCACACAATCACCAGACAATTGGATACATTTCTGCCAACGTTAAACAAGTTTTCTGAAGCCGTCACGGAAGAAGTCGACACTCTGTTTCTGCAACCAGGATCTCACAGTTCTCTCACCAACTTCATCAGAAACATAATGATGTCCCTGAAGATCTTCTTTCATTATCGGGAACAGATGGAAGTTAGACGGTGCTAAATCTGGACTGTATGGAGGATGCCGTATGGTGGTGAGATCCAGTCTCTGAAGTTCTGCTGTGGTAGCATGTGAAGTGTGTGGTCTGGCATTTTCATGCTGCAGGAAAACATTTCCCTTTTCTTTTCGGACCCTTTTTAGCCATCATTTCAAAATTTGCAGCATTGGGATGTAACACTCTGAATTTATTGTTGTTCCACGTTCAAGGAAATCAACATGGACAACACCATCTGCATCCCAGAACACTGTTCTCATCATTTTTCCAGCTGAGGGTTGTGTCTTGAATTTTTTTTTTTGGGGGGGGGGGGGGGAGTCTTTTTGTGTCAATATTACATAGACTGACGCTTTGTCTCTGGGTCATAATGGTGTACCCACGTTTCATCTCCTGTCACAATTTAATGGAGAAAGGCGTCACCTTCATTCTCATAATGAGAGAGGAGTTCCTGGCAAATTTCAAGTCTGTGATGCTCATCCTGAATCAATCTGTAAACCTTTTGCTCATGAAATTCGGTAGTTGTTGTCACTGGATGTCCAACTCTTTGTTTGTCACACAAGTTAGATGTTCCCACCTCAACATCTTTAAACTTACTCACCCAACGATGCACAATACTCACATCAACACAATAACCATAAACAGCTTGCATTCTCTGATGAATCTCCTGTGGGGTGACACCTTCTACTGTCAAGAATTCAATGACTGCACATTGCTTAAGTCGCATTGACCAACCGTCTGTGCAGGGTTCCATACTTCACACTTTAACAACACAATCGTTCAATGCTAAGGCTTCCTGCCAAAATAGAACTGTAGAAGAGAGTCTACTGAACAAGCCAGTACCTGCTGCATACCAGTACTGCCATCAGTTGAGGAGGTACGAAGGTTGAGGCATTAATTTTCATTCAACCCTCGTACCAAGCTTGTAAGGCTATCAAAAAGAGAGATAAGATTAGTTTGGCATGGCTTTTTTTTTGAGAAATCCATGTTGACCTTTAGTGAGCACAGCATTCTTTTCTAAGCGATTCTGCTCCAGAATCTGTCCTAATAGTGGTTTTTATTTATTTATTTATTTATTTATTTATTTATTGTGTCAGGAGCAAACAATTGTGTTGCATTTTTAACAGAACAAACAAACAAAACAGAACACAAAGTTGGTAGTTGATTAAATGTCCTTTGGCCAGTAGCTGACCACTTGGAGTGCCTCTGGTGTTGCCGCAAGAAGGTCCTCCATTGTGCATGTGGCAGGGCTCAGGTTGCATTGCAGCAGGTGGTCGGTGGTTTGCTCTTCTCCACACTCGCATGTCGTGGATTCCACTTTAGAGCCCCATTTCTTAAGGTTGGCTCTGCATCTCATGGTGCCAGAGCGCAGTCTGTTCAGTGCCTTCCAAGTCACCCAGTTTTCTGTGTGCCCAGGGGGGAGTCTCTCATTTGGTATCAGCCATTGATTGATGTTCTGGGTTTGTACCTGCCACTTTTGGATTCTTGCTTGTGGGGTGTTCCAGCGAGTGTCTCTGTAGATCTTAGAAAAGTATTTCTTGATTTAAGTCATTGACGTGCTAGCTGATACCCAAACAGGGGATGAGCTGGAGATGTCACTGCCTTGGTCCTTTCACTATTGGCTGCTACTTCCCGGCGGATGTCAGGTGGTGCAATACCGGCTAAGCAGTGTAATTTCTCCAGTGGTGTAGGGTGCAGATACCCCGTGATAATGCGGCATGTCTCATTAAGAGCCACATCCACTGTTTTAGCGTGGTGAGATGTGTTCCACACTGGGCATGCATACTCAGCAGCAGAGTAGCATAGCGCAAGGGCAGATGTCTTCACTGTATCTAGTTGTGATCCCCAGGTTGTGCCAGTCAGCTTTCGTATATTATTTGGATTTAGCATATCTGGATTTCATTAAGGCCTTCGACAAGGTCCTACAACTATACAATATCCCAGAGTACTTGTAAGATATCAGCACAAACACAAAACAATCTATGCGTTATGTCAAAGTGTAATATCAAAAGAGCATATAGTATGCCATTTACCAAAATCCCAAGTACATAGCTCAATTCAGTGGCACAAAGCAAAATCACAAGGAGCAACCGCTCTTAAATGTAACAGTTCTAGGTCTAAATAATAGGCCTGGGTAACAACGGAAAAATTTGTTTCTAAAATCGATTTGTATTTGGTGTTTTTTTTTGTTTCGATATTTAAAATAATTACAAAATTTTCCTTTTAAAAAGTTCGATATTTACGAAATTTCGTAAATGGTAAAAAATTAACGAATCGATTTCCGAAACAATAACGAATCGATTCGTTAATGGCGGACGCGACCGCGAAATACGCTAAAAAACCTCCAAAACCTTCTGAAGCTTCCCTCTCCCTCTGTTGTTGACTGTTGGTGTGATATTATTATTTTTTTTCACTAATTAAACCATAAAACTGGCCCAGACATGCGGAAATAATAACGAAACGACCTCAAAACAATAACGAAACGAATACAATATCGAAATACGAAGCATTTACAAAACGTTTTTGAAAATTCGTTTTTTTTAATAATTGCTCCAGAATGGTTCGTTATCGTTTTGTAATTGAAAAAATTAACGAATTATTAACGAATTACGAATTAACGAAACGAAACCACCCAGCCCTACTAAATAAGCGTTCCACTGTATATAGGCTTCAGGGATACATTCAATGGGAAAAATCATATCAACAAAGTAAGCATAGAGTCATGAGGCTATATGTAGACTGACGACAATAATGAAGACCTGGCAAACAAACTAGTTCAATGTGGGCTAGGCAACACTACGGTTAGGTGGATCTGTAATTAGTTAAGCAGACGAACCAAGAGGGTGCTCATCAATGCTTCCTCTTCATCCTGGAAAGAAGTGACGAGTGGAGTGCCAACAGCAGGGTTCTGTCCTGGGCCCGGTCCTGCTCAGGATCTTCATTAATGACTTAGATTTATTTATTTTGTATCAAAAGCATTATATAAATTAGCATAAAACTGATAAAAAAAGAAGGAGTGCAGGTGGCTAAATATCTTTTGACCAAAAATGGCCAACAGCAATGGCATCATCTGTAGCCTCCAACAATTCTTCCACTGTACATGAGGCAGGGCATAGTGGACAAGCATACAGATGCGGAGTTGTCTATTCTGCTCCACATTCACAGAAAGTGTGGGATTCTTTTAGGTAGTGCCATTTTGCCAGGTTGTTCTTTGATCTGCCCACTCCACTTCTGAGTCTGTTCAGGGACTTCCAAGTTGCCCATTCTTGGTTTGTCCCTGGAGGAAGACCCTCATGGGAGGCCATCCAGTTGGGGTTCCCTGGTTGAGCTGTCCAGAGGGATAACCTTGCTGTTGCTGGGGGGACACCAAGAAGAGTGGTAGTTCTCATAAAACTTTTCCTTGATTTGAGTCTGCTGGGAGGAGGCTGGTAGCCATTTAGTCGGTGGCTTTCACAGTGTTCAACCTTATTTCTCTCACATTTAGCTGCAACTTCCTGTCGCACATCGGGGTGTGTGTGTGTGTGTGTGTGTGTGTGCCAGCTAGCTTGTAGAGTTTATCAACAGGTGTAGGTTTAAGACATCCCGTGATTATTCTGCATGTTTCATTCAATGCTATGTTCACTTGCTTTGCATGGGCAGACCTATGCCAAACAGGGCATGCATACTCGGTAGTCGAGTAAGACAAGGCCAGGGCTGATGTTCTTACTAATTTTGGGTCTGCACCCCATATGCTGCCAGTAAGTTTTCTCAGGATGTTATTGCGTTCAGCTACTTTGTGCTTGGTGATCAAGCAGTGTTTCCTATATGCTAGTGTTCGATCTAAGGTGACACCGAGATATTTAGGATGGAAACAATGTTCAAGCTCTTGACCTTCCCAGGTGACTTTTAATTTCCTGTTGGCTTCAAGGTTGCGTAGGTGGAAAGCACACATTTGTGTCTTGGCAGGGTTAGGCTTAAGCTGGTTATCATTGCCATAGCTTGAGAGATCTTTCAAGGCATTAGTAAGTTGGATTTCAACTGTTTCAACTGTGTTGTTAGGCTAAGGTCATCAGCATCACATGGAAAGAGCCTCCTCAAAGACTGAATAAATACAGTCGGGTGTCCCCCAGGCAACATTTCTTGTAAATGGCTAGTCTTGCTAAACTCAAAAGCATTGTTTTTTAAACATTTGAAACGTTTTAAATTGGAGGTGTGTTTTCCCCCCCTCCATATATGGATGACTTAGATGACGGATTAGAAGGCATGATCATCAAGTTTGCAGATGACACCAAATTGGGTGGGAGAGCCAATACTCCAGAAGACAGGAGCAGAATTCAAAGCAATCTTAATAGATTAGAGAAATGGACCAAAACTAACAACATGAAGTTCAACGGTGAGAAATGCTAGATACCCCACTTAGGCAGAAAAAATGAAATGCAAAGATACAGAATGGGGGATGTCTGGCTCAAGAGCAGTACATGTGAAAAAGATTTTGGGGTCCTTATGGACAACAAGTAAACATGAGCCAACAATGTGATGCGATGGCAAAAATAGCCAATGGGATTTTGGTCTGCATCTATAGGGAACACTGTAATCAAACATATGGAGCTCACTGTATTTCAATAGGTGTCATGAAACTGTATCTGTATGTTTTCTTGACTAAAGAAACAAAACTTTTCTGACCCATTGAAAGAGTTACACTGCTGAGTCGAATAGATTTTTTTCTCAGGAGCACATCTCCACGTGGAATCACTCATATCCCATCGTGTTTATTATGTTGCAGAAATTGTTTTTTATGTCTAGAAATTATCAAAATAATTGTGATTTATTCTACTTCTCAAAGGATTTGTTCAAAGATCATCTTTGGAACTAACATGAGAAACCTCAAAACAACGCAGCCGATGCTGTAGCTGTGGCCTCAGACAAACACCTTCTGTCCATTGAGGATAGTGAGTATTCCCTTCACATCTGAGGCCAGAGGCCAATTTTAGTGTTTATTTCCTTTACATCCTTGTTGGTCTGGGGCCAATTTTACCCATATTAGTAAAACCACACATGCCAGCTGTGCTTTTGTGAGAGGCTTCGGCATCTCATTATTCTACTCTGCGATTATTTTGTCTGAAGATACAAAAGAGAGGGAAAATTCAAAAGCATCTCCATCATGATGTGGTGGTCCCTGCTGTACCTTATGCTGCTCTACAGAGATGCCTATGGGAGGCTGAAGGCCAAATGCCCAATGAAATGGATCCTAGATCGAACACATTCATTTAATTATTACAAGCCTGGAGACTACACAATTGGTGGGATCACAGAGACAGCAAATATTATGCATTATCCATATGTTTTCTTCCAACCTCCTACTACGAATTATGTTGGGTAAGAAATTGGGACATTTCATAATCTTTCATTCTTCTTGTTGGGCAGAGATAGGTTCTGTTTTCCAGAGAAAAGAACTGCTAAGGTGCCATCAAGACCTGATATCTTGGGGCAGATGTAGACCTTCCACTGACTGGCAATACCAGTGGTTCATTCTCCTTCAGATTCCACCTGAACATGAGGAAGAACTTCCTGACTGTGAGAGCCAGGCCCATAACCAGGATTTTGATTCGGAGCGGGGGGTGGGGGGGCAGTCTGAGTGAAAGCCAGTCTACCCTAGCAAGCCTTTTGTATCGTTACCCCAATACCCCCATGCATATGGGATATATTGAACATGGTGATCAGATCATGATATGAATAAACATAACAGTTTAAATAATGTACCAGTAAGGCCTTTTTACGGTCTGGTGAGAGCTGTTCAGCAGTGGAACTCTCTGCCCCAGAGTGTGGTGGAGGCTCCTTCTTTGGAGGCTTTTAAACAGAGGCTGGATGGCCATCTGTCAGGGATGCTTTCAATGTGGTTTTCCTGGTTCTCGGTACAGGGTTGGACTGGATGGCCATGAGATCTCTTTTGACTCTATGATTCTATCTTCCTCCATTTTAACAAAAAGTAAAAATCCCATGGCTTTCATTTTTTCCATGTACTGTATATCAAATGCTGCTCATGTATATTCCTTTTTCATCTCCCCCCCCCCCCTTCTCTTCTTCTCCATATATTTTTTACAAAACAGAGGGTGAAAATATAATGGCTTCCATTTCATTGCAGTGTAGCGAATTTAGAATACTGGCAGAACCTAGCATTCTTGTTTGCCATTCGTGACATCAACCAAGATCCACTGCTCTTACCCAACATCACACTGGGATACAGCATCTATGAGAACTATTTCGATGAAAGAATAACTTACGATGCCACGATAGACCTGCTGTCGACTGGAGAACAGAGCGTTCCAAATTACAGCTGTGGAAAGCAGAGTAACCTCTTGGTGGTTCTTGAAGGAGCAGGCACTGAAATTTCCAGCCACATCTCAAGCATCTTGGATATCTACAAAACCCCACAGGTATGAATGGGTTGTGTGGTTGTAGGATGGGTTTATATGAAGCAGTGGTTCCCAACCTGTGGGTCACAGCCACATGAACAAAAATCCAGTCTGCAAATCTCCTTCCTCTTTATTTATTTTATTTCCTTTCCTTTCTGCCGAAATAACCAGCCCTGCTCCTTTTGGTACTAATGTTGAGGAGTGGTCCCTGGTTAAGTGTGCCTTGGTTAAAGTGGTTCCTGGTCAAAGTAGCCCTTGGTCAAAGTGACCCTTGGTCAAAATGGCCCCTGGTCAAGTGGTCCCTGGTCAAAGTGGCCCTTGGTCAAAGTGGTCCCTGGTCAAAGTGGTTCCTGGTCAAAGTGGGCCTTGGTCAAAATGATCCCTGGTCAAGTGGTCCCTGGTCAAAGTGGTCCCTGGTCAAATGGGCCCTTGTCAAGTGGTCCATGGTCAAAGTGGCCCTTGGTCAAAGTGATCCCTGGTCAAGTGGCCCTTGGTCAAAGTGGTCCCTGGTCAAAGTGGTCCCTGGTCAAGGTGGTCCCTGGTCAAAGTGGTCCCTGGTCAAAGTGGCCCTTGGTCAAAGTGGTCCCTGGTCAAAGTGGCCCTTGGTCAAAGTGGTCCCTAGTCAAAGCGGTTCCTGGTCAAAGTGGACCCTGGTCAACAGGTCCCTGGTCAAAGTAATCCCTGGTTAATTGGGCCCTGGTCGAATGGGAACTACCGCTACAAAGAGATTCAAAAGGCATACTGTTTTATGGATGTTAATATAATAAGCAAATAGCATCCTTCCCCAGCCATTACTCAAGGTACACCATATTATCTAGGAATTTTTGTGTTCCTTCCATTCTAGTGAAGAAAGCATTTTCTGATTTCAAATTAAAGCAACCTGAAAAATCGTGTTATGGGTGGCAAGACATTGTTGGCCAGGAGTCATAAATTATGTTCAGAACTAAGCTACTAAAATGTATCAGATCACTTGGATATAGGGGTTGGAAAATTGCATTTTATAGCAAAAGAATGTATATCCTCAGCACATTTTTAATCCTGGAAATTCTTTTTAGATCAGTGGTTCTCAACCTTCCTAATGCCACGACCCCTTAATGCAGTTCTTCATGTTGTGGTGACCCCCAACCATTTTTGTTGCTACTTCATAACTGTAATTTTTCTACTGTTATGGGTCGTAATGCAAATATCTGGTATGCAAGATGTATTTTCATTCACTGGACCAAATTTGGCACAAATACCCAATACACCCACATTAAAATACTGGTGGTATGTGTGCGTGTGTGTGTCTGGGGTGTGTGTGTCTGAATTTGTCATTTAGGAATGTAGTTGCTGGGATTTATAGTTCACCTACAATCAAAGAGCATTCTGAACTCCACCAAAGATGGAATTAAACTAAACTTAGCACACAGAAGTCTGATGACCAACTGAAAATACTGGAAAGGTTTGTTGGGCATTGACCTTGAGTTTTGGAGTTGTAGTTCACCTACATCCAGTGAGCACTGTGGACTCAAAATGGAGTCCACAGTGGCGGATTTGGACCAAACATGGCACAAATCCTCAATATGCTCAAGTGTGAACACTAGCAGAGTTTGGTGAAAATAGACTTTGACACTTGGGAGTTGTGGTTGCTGGGATTTATAGTTCGCCTACAATCAAAGAGCATTCTGAACCCCACCAACAATAGAATTGGACCAAACTTCCCACACAGAACCGCCATGACCAACAGAAAATACTGTGTTTTCCGATGGTCTTTGGTGACCCCTCTGACACCCCTCGTGACTCTCCCAGGGATCCTGACCCAATTATATGAATCTATGATTATGAAATCCAAAATACTTCTATATCCAAAATTGTCTCATTGGTTAGTGAGCTAGTGGTACTTTTGCTTTTTGATGGTTCATTGTATACCAACTTTGCACACAATTATTAAACACATGGCTTATAGAATTACCATCAGGCTATGTGTTTAAAGTGTTTGTGAAAGTTGAGTAGTTTTCATGTTTAGGCTTGGTTTCTGTCTTTAATATATCTCATAATGTAAACAAAAACAACAAAGCACATTAACTCCAAGAAAGGGTGAAGTTGTTAAAGCTAGCAGCTTACATAATTACAAAAATTTGAAGATCATCTTCAAAACCAAAAGAGAACACCAAACCTTTCATTACCTTTTAGGTCAGTTATGGCTTCCTTAGTAATGCATTCAGTGGAAAAAGTCAGTTAACTTTTCAGTACCGAATGACTCCAAAGCAAGAACCTCCATATCTAGGCATTGTCAAATTGCTCCTGCATTTTAAATGGACTTGGATTGCTCTTTTTGCTCCAGAGAATGACTCTGGTGAAAAGTTCCTTAGTACCTTCAGATCTGTGGCTACCAAGAATGGTGTTTGCATTGCCTTCTCAGCAACGGTTCCTAGTCTGAATTCAGAAAAATACCCAACCATCACATTCGATATATTTTCGTTTCTGGTGGATACAAACATTAATGTAGCTGTTTATCAAGTGGATTCTTTTATTGTGTATATACAAGGACTATTTATAAAACAAGTTGAAAAGACCAGAAACTCAACTGTGGGGAAAGTTTGGATTGCAACAGCTTTACAGGACCTCACCATGAGAATGCTGCGCAGAGTGGTTGATCTCCAGGACAAACATGTTTCTTTGTCCTTCTCTGTCCAGATGAATAAAAGGAGACACTATAGTGACTTTGACAGATATCAGGTTTATCTTGAACAGTTTGGGGAAGCAGCATTTAGTTGTTTCTTCTCAAGGCCAATGCCATCTCTGAAAATCTGGAAAAGATGTGCAGAAAAAAGCACCATGAAGGAGCTGCCTCAGGATGTGATTGAGGGAATCCAATCTCAAGACAGCTATAGTATTTATAATTCTATCCAGGCTGTGGCACGGACCTTGCATGAGGCACACTCTTCCCGACTGAAGTGGATGAGAATGACGGGTGGAGACAGGCTGACTCCTCAAAGGGTCCCTTCCTGGAAGGTATTACCACATACACTCAAACATAAGCCGACCTGAATATAAGCTGAGGCACCTAATTTTGCCACAAAAAGACTGGAAAAACTTATTGACTCGAGTATAAGTTGAGGGTGGGAAATGCAGCCGCTACTGGTAAATTTAAAAAATAAAAATAGATACCAATAAAATTACATTTATTGAGGCAACAGTAGGTTAAATGTTTTTGAATATTTACATTAAACTGTGTAGGGAATGGGAAGGGGTGGTTGAAAATGTGGGAAAATGATGTGGAAAAGAGGTGGCTGGAAAAGTAGGATATACTGGGGTGGGAAGGGGGCAACTGGGGAAGGGGGAAAGACTAAGGCAGGGGTCCACAAACTTTTTAAACAGAGGGCCAGGTCACACTCCCTCAAATTGTTGAAGGGCCGGATTATAATTTGAAAAAGACATGAATGAATTCCTATGCACACTGCACATACCTTATTTGTAGTGCAAAAAACATTTCAATGCAATACAATAATTACAATGAATAACAATTTTAACAAATACAAACTTATTAGTATTACAAAAGGGAAGTGTCAGCCTGCATTTGGCTGATGAGATAGGATTGTTGTTGTTGTTGTGTGCTTTCAAGTCGTTTCAGACTTAGGTTGACCCTGAGTGAGGGCCGGGTAAATGACCTTGGAGGGAAGTATCCAGCCCCCGGGCCTTAGTTTGGGGACCCCTGGACTAAGGTGTGGAAGAGGGCTGCAAACTGGGAAAGGTTAGGAAAGGGCAGCTGGAAAAGTGGGAAAGATCCCATTCTAGAGTGTTAAGGGGAGGTTTCTTCCCTTCCTTCTTTTCCCTTTCTTTCATTCTCTTCCATTCCTTCTTTCCCATCTTTCCTTTCCCCCTAACTTTCCTCCCACCTCCTTTTCTCGCTCCTTCATTCCCTTTTTCTTCCTTCCGTCTCCCATTCCTTCCTTCTTTCTCCCTTTCTACCACCAACACTAATACTTATTAACATTTTAGGCTGTTGATAGAACAACTTGTTTTTCAACTAGTGGAATGAGACAGATGCCCTTATTTTCCAAGGCTCTTGAAGGTGATGAAAAAGTACAAATAGTGACTAGAATTGCAATGAAGGAGATTTCCGAAACAGCTGCAGTCAGACACAAATGGGTGCTAAGATCTGTGATGATGATGATGATGATGATGATGATAGCAATGTTAGATTACCTTTCTGTCACTGTTGCATTGGTCCTGAATTGTCCAAAAGAGAAATTTGCTGAACATCAAAAGGCGTTATCCTCTGGCAAATTGGGGAGGAAGAAAATCCAACAAATGCTACGTTCAGCAAAGGACAAGAGGGAGACTTCTGCAGGAGTCTACCGTATACCATGCAGCTGTGGACAAGTCTACATAGGGACCACCAAACGCAGCATTGCCCAAACACGAATCAAGGAACATGAAAGGCACTGCAGACTACTTCAACCAGAGAAGTCAGCCATAGCAGAGCACCTGATGAACCAACCTGGACACAGCATTTCATTTGAGAACACAAAAATGCTGGACGACTCTCACAACCACCATGTCAGACTACACAGAGAAGCCATTGAAATCCACAAGCATGTGGACAATTTCAACAGAAAGGAGGAGACCATGAAAATGAACAAAATCTGGCTACCAGTATTAAAAAACTCTAAAATTACAACAGCAAAACAGCAGAGAGGAAACAACCAGGCACATCTTAACACCTCTCAACAAAGGATTCCCAGGCTCAGCCAGGCCTTCAAATGCTAATGAAGGTGGTCAGTTGAAACAGTCACACTGCTCCAGCAGAGAAGAGCTCTTTGCCCCACCCCAGTCATTCCACAGATATATAAACCAATTTTCCTAATTCCAACAGACCTCACTACCTCTGAGGATACTTGCCATAGATGCAGGCGAAACGTCAGGAGAAAATGCCTCTAGAACATGGCCATATAGCCCAAAAAAACCCACAAGAACCTAGGAAGGAAATCCTTCATCAAGGTGTGACCATTTTGCCAGATATAATTAATTGCATCCACTGAATCGTTCATGTCAGGAATATAACACACGATGCATCTATGCTATAAAATTAATGCTATAAAATCTTGGAGTTTTTCAAAATCTTTAACTTTCTCTTCCAAGGGGTGCTGGTGCCTTTTCAAACTGCAAACATTTGGATTCCATGTTATGAACCATGGCAGTGGACATGGTGCCAAACTGCATTCATTCAGTGTAGACACATCCATAGTAAAGTAATGTTCTACCGTGTAATCCAAGGGTCTGTGGGAAATCCTTGGAAATGCCCAAGAAAACCTTCACTCACTAACACTTGATCTTTACTCATGTTCGTTGATTTAAGGTTTTCAGTAGAGCCTTATCATGCCGCATTATCACAGGGTGTCTGCGCCCTACACCACTGGAGAAATTACACTGCTTAGCCGGTATTGCACCACCTGACATCCGCCGGGAAGTTGCAGCCAATAGTGAAAGGACCAAGGCAGAGACATCTCCAGCTCATCCCTTGTTTGGGTATCAGCCAGCACGTCAATGACTTAAATCAAGAAATAGTTTTCTTAGATCTACAGAGACACTCACTGGAACACCTCAGCAAGCGAGAGTTCAAAAGTGGCAGGCTCAAACCCAGCATCTCAATCCCAAAAGTGGCAGGCTCAAACCCAGCATCTGGGTGATACCAGATGAGAGACTCCCCCCTGGGCACACAGAAGACTGGGCGACTTGGAAGGCGCTGAACAGACTGCGCTCTGGCACCACGAGATGCAGAGCCAACCTTCAGAAATGGGGCTACAAAGTAGAATCCATGACATGCGAGTGTGGAGAAGAGCAAACCACTGACCACCTGCTGCAATGCAAACTGAGCCCTGCCACATGCACGATGGAGGACCTTCTTGCGGCAACACCAGAGGCACTCCAAGTGGCCAGATACTGGTCAAAGGACATTTAATAAGCTACCAAGTTTGCAAAATTTTTGTTTTTTTTAAATCTGTTTGTTTGTTTTGTTCTGTTAGAAATGTAATACAATGTTCTGGTTGTGGATGACACAATAAATAAAGTAGAGCCTTAGCTAATTAGGCAGGGTTCTTGTTTGCTTTGAGGAAGGTGTACTTCCGTACTGCCTTCATATGGCTGCCTGAAGTTGAATCCAAACTGCCATTTAATGCCGTTTGAAACAGCTTTGTCTGGCATATGTAGATTCAGCCTGAGACCTTTGATAAACACAAATATGAGGTGAGGCAGATCCCTGGATGCTTAGTCAATAGATATGCATTCAATAGATCACTTCATCACATTTACTAAATTCCACTGAGTACTACACTTAAAACCTGGGAAGCCACTCTTGCCATTACATTAGTTTGGCTTAAAGTGTAGGATAGAGCATTCTTTGCATATTTTAAGTATGAGGGCCAGCATTCTTTTAAAAATGTTTCAGGAAGTGGTGGGGAAGTGGGTTTTTTAAAAGTCATCTGAATGTTTGGCCATTTTTGTGATGGCATTAGTTGCTCCCAGGTTTACAATGAAATGTTTCCCCAATTTGCAGGAGAGGAAATTGCGGGAGGAGCCAAAAGTCCCCTTGTTAGGGAAAGCATTACCTTTTGTTCACAAGATGTAGAACAGGATTTCCTGTCTCAAATATATACCTCTTTTCCTGTGTCATTCCAGCTGAATCCTTTCCTGAGAAACTTTGAGCTTTATAATACTTCCAAGGATGGTATTTATCTAGATGAGAATGGAGATCTGGCAACTGACTTTCAAATCATGAATTGGGTGGTTTTCCCCAACAAATCCTCTACTGGAATTGAAGTCGGTAGTATAGAGAGACGGAACTCCTCAAAGATCAAGTTCACCATAGATCAGAGTGTCATTGTATGGGCCGAGTGGTTTAATCAGGTGGGGCAAATAAGACATTTCTTTTATTGTATTGTCGAAGGCTTTCATGGCTGGAATCACTCAGTTCTTGTGGGTTTTTTCGGGCTATATGGCCATGTTCTAGAGGCATTTTTCCTGACGTTTCGCCTGCATCTATGGCAAGCATCCTCAGAGGTAGTGAGGGTTGTGACCATATCCCCACCAAACGCAGCGCCCAAACAAGAATCCAGGAACATGAAAGGCACTGCAGACTACTCCAACCAGAGAAATCAGCCATAGCAGAGCACCTGATGAACCAACCTGGACACAGCATTTTATTTGAGAACACAAAAATGCTCGACCACTCTCACAACCACCATGTCAGACTACACAGAGAAGCCATTGAAATCCACAAACATGTGGACAATTTCAACAGAAAGGAAGAAACCATGAAAATGAACAAAATCTGGCTACCAGTATTAAAAAACTCAAAAATTGCAACAGCTAAACAGCAGGGAGAAAAACAGGCAGGGACATCTAATCACCTTTCAAGAAGAGTTTGCTCCAGGCACAGTCAGCCCATTGTATGCTAATCAAGGTGGTCAGTGAAAGATTCACACCCAGCCCAACTTACAAAAGACCTTTGTCTCACCCTGGTCATTCCACAGATATATAAACCCCTTTTTCCCATTTCCAGCAGACCTCACCTCTGAGGATGCTTGCCATAGATGCAGGCAGAAGATATTTGCTATAAACGAAAAGAGAATTTGCGAGTCATTTTCCCTTCGTGGATTTAATATTCATATTTAGGCAGATCGACATCCCATTTTACAATTAACGATTGCTAAAATATAACTATAATGTAAGATGCCCCAAGGGCTCTGCACAGCCATGTGGCAGGATATAAATTAACCATTCTGTACTCACTTGGACGGTACTATCCATCAGTGGAAAGATTCACACCCAGCCCAACTTACAAAAGCCCTTTGTCTCACCCTGGTCATTCCACAGATATATAAACCCCTTTTTTCCCATTTCCAGCAGACCTCACCTCTGAGGATGCTTGCCATAGATGCAGGCGAAACGTCAGGAGAAATGCCTCAAGAACATGGCCATATAGCCCGAAAAAACCCACAAGAACTGATTTCTTGTATTTCTGCTCATGGCTGTTATCTACTCTTAAGTCAACCCTACTAACTTCAATGGGCTTCACATAGATGCAAGACTACAACCTTAAACTCTGTATACAAAGTTCATGAATGTTTTGTATGCGCCTTATATAGAGTACATATTGTGAAGGTAATTTTATCCACAATAGTTGTAATAATTTTGTGTATAAAATAAAATTTATTTGCAATGAATGATGAAACAATAAAAGTGTCAGTATCTCAATATTCAGGATTTGGAGTACGGTGGTGGGACCGAGAGCAGGACCTCCCCAGAAGATCTTAGTCTTTGTGGTGGTTTGTAAAGGGAGATGCATTTGGATAAGTAAACTAGGCAGGGATAAAGTGGGCCAAGAATATCCATGGCCAAAAGGGTCTTACAATAGGTAAGATCTGTAACGTAGTAATGCAGCTGCAGTGTTTCCTTGATCACAATGGTAAGATCTAGACCAGGTTACTGGTCTGACTGATTATTATATTATTATTTCAGACATTTATACCCCATCCTTCTCACCCACCCTGGGGGTGGGGGGGCACTACTCAGGGCGGCTCACAACAATATTGCCAGTATTTTGAATTGCAGACTGGACTTGGCACATCTTTGGGCCTTTTCATGGCTGAATCTTCAGGTGGTCAATGGGTACTGTCAAGAACTGCCCTGAAATGCTTTCCTTTTCCTCCATCCAATTCTTTCCGTTCAATGAATTTCCTCTGATAAAACTCTTCATTAATACATTCTCTTGAATGTTTCTTAGACTGTGCCCATCTCTAGATGTACTGAAAGTTGTCGCTCTGGATATGCCAAGTTGATGAGGGAAGGAGAGCCGTTTTGCTGCTATGAATGTGCCTTTTGTGCGGAAGGAACCATCTCCACCCACGAAGGTAGGTGACTCCAGAGTGCCCCTCTCTCAATGCTGACCAAGGATTTTGCCTGATCCTTGGTCAGCAAAAGGATCAGGCAAGATCCTTTTGCCTGATCCAGAGTCCAGAGGCTGTAGCAACAGACAGCAACAAAGAGTCCAAGGTTAAGATGTTTGAAATCAGAGCACACTCCAGGCAGTCTATGCAAAATACCACAGTCAAAAACCATAAATCCCGTATCCTGAATTTGATAAACTGAAAGTTTGCTTCCAGTAGTTTAACTAGAGAAAGTAGCCTGTACATAAAGTCAGATAGTTCATTGCTGTCACCATTCTAGATAGTATTTCAGACATATGTCACAGGGTCTCTGCAAAAGTGGAAAAACGCTGAAGAAAAAATAAACACGATTTCTTCATCTCAGAGAATCCCTCTCTACTCCAGGTCCTGCTGTGGGACTTTAATGTCAGTATCTGGTAAAAAGACATAGTGTTCCAGTACAGAACCTAGAAGTTCCTGGAGAACATTCTAGAAAAATCTGCAAATCAAATCTGCAGATGTTAATCCCACATATATGGAGGGCTGGCTGTCCTGTCTGCTTTGAGTGGCAAAGCACTTTGCTCGGGCAAAGAAATGTTCCAATCCAGTTCTCTGAGAGCCATGTTGGGTAAGGCGGGAAATGTTCCCACTGAACCTGGGAATGGACAGAAGGAGAGCCATGCTATTTCCCATTAATAAAGCTTCTTGCTGGGCCAGGTTATAGCACAGCTGGTAAATCACCACCAGCAACAATAAGATCTACCAATCAAAAGGTTGCCAGTGTTTGAAGCCTAGGTTGGGTGAGTACAGACTGTCTGCCCAGCTCACTGTTTACCTAAGCAGTCTGAAAACATTTTAGAGCTGTAAGGAGAGAAATTAGATGCAGCTAAAAAGTAGGGGAGATATTTTATGACATCATAAAAAAGAAAAAGACCAGAAAATGCTGTTGATCAAAAGGAAGGAGGAGGTCCTGATGGCTCTTGGTCACAGAGGATGGAGCGACTCCCCCCGCCTCCGTGGCTGGATTTGTGCACAACCTCCAAGGTGCCGAAAGCTGGACGCCAACACAACATACCTTCTTTCTGTCTGTTCTGTGCTCTCTGTCCAAATGGCATTGAATGTTTGCGGTGTACATGTACTGTGATCCGCCCTGCGTCCCCTTGGGGAGAAAGGGCAAAATATAAATAAAGTGTTGTTATTATTATTATTATTATTATTATTATTATTATTATTATTGCCCACCATCCTGTTTCTGTCAGTTTTATCACTGAAGAGAGGCAAAGCAGCCTTCTAGCTAGTTTCATTCTCTATACACAACACCATCTGCATTCTGCTGGCCATCCACCTCCTTCCTGTGCTTCTCCCACTTGTAGCCATTTATGGATAACACCATAAAACCCCACAATGTTTATACCACCTTTGGTGAGATGGGCCCTTCTGCTTCTGTGCTGGCATACTGACTGTAAAGTCATATTGAAGGAGGGTATTCTCTCCAATGTTCGAAAGCTGTCTTTTTTCCTGTTATTTTATATTTATATTTGCCTGGTTTTGCTTTGTGTATAGACTACAGATCAAGTGTTATGTTGCTTTATGGTCATTCTTCATCTGTTGTTGTTCTTTTCAGATGCGGATCACTGTATTAAGTGTCCAGATGAGGATTACTCCAACAAAGATCGTACAGAATGTCTTGCCAAGTCTATCATCTACCTTTCCTATGAAGACCCTTTGGGAATCAGCATAGCTTTCTTTGCCCTGTTCTTTACCTTAATCACAGGGTTTGTCTTAGGTATCTTCCTCAAATACCAGGAAACAGCCATGGTCAAAGCCAACAACCGTGATCTCACCTACATGCTTCTCGTCTCCCTCCTGCTTTCCTTCTTGTCCTCCTTTCTATTCATTGGCCAACCGCGGACGGCAACTTGCCTTCTTCGACAAACCGCTTTCAGCATCATCTTCTCAGTGGCTGTCTCATCCTTGTTGGCAAAAACCATCATGGTGGTGGTGGCCTTTATGGCCACTAGACCAGGAAGTGGGATGAGGAAATGGTTGGGGAAGAGTTTGGCCAACTCCATAGTCATTTCTTGCTCTAGTGTTCAAGTGACCATCTGTATGGTCTGGCTGGGAGTCTCTCCTCCATTTTCAGATTCCGACATGCACTCCCAGCCTGGGCAGATCATATTGCAATGCAATGAGGGGTCTATGGTCATGTTTTACAGTGTCCTTGGCTACATGGGCTTTCTGGCTGCCATCTGTTTCACTGTGGCTTTCATTGCCAGGAAGTTGCCAGGGGCTTTCAATGAGGCCAAGCTGATCACCTTCAGCATGCTGGTATTTTGTAGTGTTTGGGTCTCCTTTGTGCCCACCTATCTGAGCACCAAAGGAAAATACATGGTGGCTGTGCAGCTCTTCTCTATTTTGTCCTCCAGTCTGGGGTTACTGGGTTGCATTTTTATCCCCAAATGCTACATTATACTGTTTAGACCTCATTTGAATACAAAGAACTTTCTGATGCTGAAAACCCAAGAGCAGACTTGATTTTTATCTTAATTTGCTCTTCATTTGGCTCTGGTTTGCCAGGCATGTAAAGGAACTCACATCTTCTTTTAGGAATATATAATAACAATCTGTAAACTTTACAGAAAACAATTAAAGTTTAGAGTAAGTGGCCAGGAATATTGTGTTTGTGTGTCTTTATGTCACTTTTGATGTATGGCAGTCATAAGGCAGAATTTGTTTTTGTCGCCCCCAAGTCTAGGGCAACTGTCTTGGCAGGTTCAAAGAGAGGCAAAATGGACACAGATCTAAATTATATGTAGACAAAAAAAGTACTCAAAAGATTCAGACTTACTTAGGCGATGCCTCGTTGTCTGAGTAGGATTGTCTTCCAAGATGTACTAGTGTACTGGTGGTGGATTCTACAGCACTACTGGTCACAGCTGACCTCCATCTGGAGCGCTCAAGGGCCAGGGCTTCCCAGTTCTCAGTGACTATCCCAAAGTTTTTAAGGTTGGCCTTGAGCCCATCTTTAAATCTCTTTTCCTGCCCACCAACATTCTGTTTTCCTAAAAAGATTCAGAATAAAATGCTGAAAGTCACATGTATGTGTGATGCCCAGTATCTATTATAGGAGGAACAATTGGTGTCTTCCAGAGCAATGGTTTTATATGCGTTACCAAAGGCTTTCATGGCTGGAATCACTTGGTTACTGTGAGTTTCTGTGGATGCTTGCCACAGATGCAGGTGAAACATCAGGAAATAATGCTACTGGAACCACACAGCCTGAGAAATTCACAATAACCCAATAATTTTATACTTCATTAGCGACTTGCATCTTCTCATGGCCTGGCTGGGCAAATAGAAATGTACACCTTTTCTCCTTTACTTATATGGTCAAAAGGTAGAGATCTAACTAAATTTGTAGTTTCCTACTGCCTAAATAAGGGGATGTCAAACAGAAAGCACCTCCTGTCTATGCACTGACAACCCAAAGGAAATAGCCAATCCTGATGATATTGAGCAGTTTAGAGCAGTTCGCGGATAGTGAGATCCAGACTGTGGATAGCGAAACCCAGTACGCTGATACTGAGACCCAGCTAGTGGCTGGCTTCACACTGATTGGCAAAGCCGGTGCTGACATCACAGCCAGCTGAGAGGATTCCCCCTGTGGGTCAGGAAACCAGCACTTGGCAGCCAATCAGGAGGCTTTCCTTATGTCCAGTGCATATTTGTGGCCCTTCAATAGCCAACCAGCCTGGGATGGTTGTGGGGAACAAAGGAAAACATGAATTTGTTAGTGGGGAATAGTATCTCAATCTCAAGACTAACAAGGCGGAGCCATCAGGTCCTTGGGAGTTATTATCTTTCAAAGTGTCCAGTGAGTGACTCATCATGTGGGGGTCTGGTGCCCGTGCGCCTGGGGCCATTGTTGGTTGAGTCAGTGTATTGTCCAAAATGATGGGATTAAGGTGATCCATTCCATTGTTGTTGATTCGTTCAGTCACTTCTGACTCTTTGTGACCACATGGACCAGTCCATGTCAGAGCTCCCTGTCGGCTGTGACCACCCCTTCAAAATCAAGCCAGTAACTTCAAGGATACTGTAAAAGAGGGTAAAATTACTGCCACCAAATTTGTGAGGAAAGCCGGGCAATGATCAACATCAGCTTAGGAGCTGGTTTATAAAGGGAATATTAGTTACAAAAGAATTTATTCATTTGATAGCGTAGCTCTAATTTGGTTCTTGATTTGACCTTTCTTCTTTTGTAGGCTGTTTGACTTAGGAGAAACTGTATCAGGCAAGGCTTGAGGAGAACAGTAACAAATTTATTTAACAGGAATATAACATGTTCAATTGTTTCTTCACAAGAGGCACGAATCTTGACTGGTTACATTAGTAAGGTTTCATGAGTAACTTTAGGTACAGACTTTAAGAGGTTTCTATAAGCAGATGTATCTTTCCTGGACAACTGTCCTAATAAAACAAATAAGCTAAAAGGCTTATTTAACAGAATTGGCTCCCAGCCAAACCCTGATTCTTAATATTAAAGAACCAGTCTTCCCTATAGTTCTCTAACTATAGTATTCCTGATGGTTTTCCACACACCACAGGATCAACTACCTTCTCCTGTAACTCTTTGGTCACAGACTAGTTCCCTGAATCCCCACCTAGAGATTTCAGTCCTTTTTGCAACTCTAATAGTCACTGATTCTCCCACTAGAGAAATCATTCTTCCCTGTAGCTCACCGGCTTACAGACTGCCACTTTCAAAAAGCTGCGCCGTGAAGTGACAGTTGGCTCTGCCCCCATTGTTATGGCAACTCAGCTCAATCCACCAGCCACCATCTGTAACAAAATATAATCTTACATACTTACCATTTATTAACTACTGTTTAAACAACACATAACCATAAGAATAAAAGTTACACATCGTCACAATACCATCCATCTTGCCCTTAGTCGGCCCCTCTTCCTTTTTCCTTCTGTAACAAAATGTCTAATTATAATGTATCTTTAAAAATATGTTTATTAATGTTATGATATGGTAAGTGCAGGCCAGCATTTACTGCTTAGCTGATGCATTGCCATAGTGACGGAGCCTGCTGTTGGAACGTATCCAAGTTAGATGAGTCAAAGTGGGCGGAGCTAACTGCCACCTGGCAGGGGCAGGTATTTTCAAAAGTCAGTCTTTGGTCAGTGAACCAAAGTGGGAGATGGGTTCGTTGAGAAGCCGAACCAAAGAGGCTAAAGTTTTTAGCCAGACTGCTAAAAGGAAGGACCAGTCCTAGCTATGTAAGGATAGGACTCAGGGGTTTATTATAACCAGTTTGATCTTCATCCTTGGTATTTTAAGAGTAAGAGTAATGAACTTTGCAGTATAATCTTTGCAGTATAATGCTAGTGGAAAGAGATTCCTGATCGTTTTATTGTGTCTTCAGTGTCAAATCTGAAAAAATAAAAGTGGGAATTTGGATTCAAGGTCAGTCAGAAAGACTGAGATGGAATTTGCTCTTCAAGGAGTAAATATTCGGTTGAATTATAAGTAAAGTGAAGAAACTATAAGGTTATAATGACCCAGTCAAGAAACTGAGGAAAGAAACTAAGTTCTAAAGGAAGGAAATAACAGACAGTAAGGTGTCAGATGATAAGTGATTATTGAAGGTTAATACTAAGAGTTTCATGTTTCCATAAGAACAAAGAGTTAACTGTAGCACGAACAAGAAGATATTGTGTGAACCTGAGTAATCTTTAAATAAATGTTTTGCTGTTTAGTTCAAATACTGAGAACTTGTGTCTAACTATTTAAGAGAAGATTCTTCACAAAATAGAAGGCTGAAGATCCTTTGGACCTGAAATCAGTTTCGTGACATTGAGTTACACATATTAAAGAGGAACAAACAGGTGTTTTAAAAGTCATCTCTTTCTAGGTCCAGGGAAGTCATGCTACCCCTCTATTCTGCCTTGGTTAGAACACACCTGGAATATTGTGTCCAGTTCTGGGCACCACAATTGACGAGAGATATTGACAAGCTGGAAAGTGTCCAGAGAAGGGGGTAACTAAAATGATCAGGGGTCTGGAGAACAAGCCCTATGAGGAGTGGCTTAAGGAGCTGGGCATGTTTAGCTTCAAGAAGAAAAGGCTGAGAGGAGACATGATAGCCATGAGAGGAACTCACAGGGAGGAGGGAGTGAACTTGCTGCCCTGGAGACTAGGACACGGAACAATGGCTTCAAATACAAGAAAGGAGATCCCATCTGAACATGAGGAAAAACTTCCTAACTGTGAGAGCTGTTCAGCAGTGGAACTCTCTGCCCCAGAGTGTGGTGGAGACTCCTTTTTTTGGAGGCTTTTAAACAGAGGCTGGACGGTCATCTGTCAGGGGGAGGGGCTGCTTTGAAAGCAATTTTCCTGCTTCTTGGCAGGGTGTTGGACTACATGGCCTGTGAGGTCTCTTCCAACTCTATGATTCTATGATTTCACCTGAACATTAGGAAGAACTTCCTGACTGAAGATTCAGAGTTTCTCAATCAAGTTCATGAATATAGTGTTCACTCCCTTATCGCGGGTATTACCTTCCAGGACCACCCGCTATAAGTGAATATCCGCAAAGTAGGGACACTATATTTATAGTAGAAAAATTAGGTACCACCCTAAAGTGTGGGGAGGCTAAATTAACTAATTTATGAGGCCATAAAAAAGACTCCAGCAAGCACTCCAGCAAAAAGCATGCGGGGAATGTGGAAGTACTTCATCAGTGTTGCAGATGGACGATAAAAGCGACAGCACCCCTGGTGGCCAGAAAAAGTTAAATAGCATCTGTCTATGTCTGTATATGTTGTATGTCAAAATTGGCATTGAATGTTTGCCATATATGTGTACACTGTGATCCGCCCTGAGTCCCCTGTGGGGTGAGAAGGGTGGAATATAAAACCTGTAAATAAATAAATAAATAAATAAATAAATAAATAAATAAATAATATATTAATATTATTTTTATATTTATACATTTTAGTAGTTATACACTTTTAAAGTCTTTATAAACTTAAAATAAACCCTGTTTCAATTTACCGAGTACCCCCCCCCCCTCCCCCCACACCTGCCTCCCTATCAGTGCGGTGGCTGCGAAGGAAGGAAGGAAGGAAGGAAGGAAGGAAGGAAGGAAGGAAGGAAGGAAGGAAGAGAAACAAGCCTCCCTCGCCTGTTGAGGTTCAGCCTGATCTGTGTGAATCTGATTCTCTGATAGTATTTCCAACGGAGCAAGCCACTGAACATGTCGTTTTCCCTGACAATGTGGAAACTGGTGTTGATGCTGAGTTCAGCGGTGGGGAAAACAAAACTGAACAGCCGGATGAAAATGTTTTGGAATCCAGCCGTGATAGCTCTCCACCTGGGTTTTTTAATGAGGACCGAAGGGAACAGATAACGAGAGACAGGAGTGATTCACAGTTCCTACGAAGGTCAAATAGATTACAGGAGAGACAGGCTCAGGCTTCAAAGTCAAGGGGCGTTTCAAGGAATAGTTTCTTTGGTATAAGGG